CATGGGCATCTCGCGCCGCCGCGCCCTCGCCTCCCAGTTCACCGAGACGCCCGTCTACTTCAACTGGGACGTGCCGCGCACCCGCGAAGGCTACTACCACTTCAGGGCCGGCATGGAGGCGGCCACCAAGCGCGCGCTGGCGTTTGCCCCCTACGCCGACCTGCTCTGGGTCGAGACGGGCGACCCCAACGTCGAGGTGGCCGCCAAGCTGGGCCGTGCCGTGCGCTCCGTCAACCCTGGAAAGTCGCTCGTCTACAACCTCTCCCCGTCGTTCAACTGGATGGCCCACGGCTTCTCCGAGGAGGGCCTCAAGTCCTTCATCTGGGACATTGCCAAGGAGGGCTTCACGCTGCAGCTCATCTCCCTGGCCGGCCTGCACTCGACCGCCACAATCACAAACGAGCTGGCCAAGAAGTTCAAGACGGACGGCATGAAGGCATATGTCGAGGTTGTGCAGAGGCGGGAGAAGGAGCTTGGCTGCGACGTCTTGACGCACCAGAAGTGGAGTGGCGCGAGCTACATTGATGGCATTTTGGGAGCCATCCAGAGCGGCAACTCGAGCAGCCGGAGCATGGGAGAGGGTAACACTGAGGGGCAGTTTGATTAAATCAAGAAAAAGTTAAAGAAAAAAGAAAAAAACCGTAAACTAGGATAGAAAAAATAAGACAGAAGAACATGTAGATACAGCATAAGAGACATTTGGGTGGAGTTGGGCATATACTACCTAATGCATGTAAATATATATACTTTTTTTGATTTCATATCACTTGACATGAGAATCGCATTCATTCACTTGCCAGAAATACATGCTCAATTGATTTCATACAATTTCATTATGGTATCTATCCCTTGCCAGCATCTCCATCTACTCCAAAGACGTCTTCAAAGCATTGTTGGTCGGCGCCGGTGCCGCAGGTCCCTCGGCCGTGACATACGCCTTGGTCATGCCGCCATCGACGACGAAATCACTGCCATTGACAAAGCTGGCCTCGTCACTGGCCAAAAACACCACGGCATGGGCCTGCTCCACGGCCTCGCCGAAGCGGCCCGTGGGGAAGTGAATCTCGCGGCGCTGGCGCTTGGGCTTGTCGTCGCCCAGCCAGTCCTGCAGCAGCGGCGTGTTGAGGGGCGCCGGGCACAGGCTGTTGAAGCGGAAGCCCTCGCGGGCGTGCACCATGGCCAGCTCGCGCGTCAGGGCCAGGACGGCGCCCTTTGAGGCCGTGTAGGCCAGCTGGGGCGTGGCGGCGCCGACGAGGGCGACGACGGAGGCGGTGTTGATGATGCTGCCCCTGGACTTCTTGTTGCGGCGCAGGGCCAGGACGGCGTGCTTGCAGCCGAACCAGACGCCCTTGACGTTGATGTTGTGGGTGAGGTCCCAGATGGCCTCGGGGGTGTTGATGGCGTCGTCATCGTTGGCGTGCATGATGCCGGCGTTGTTGAAGATGACGTCGAGGCCGCCCCAGGCGTCGAGGGACTCGATCATGGCCTGGACGTCGGCCTCTTTAGAGACGTCGCATTTCTGAAGAATGTGAGCAGACTATCGATTTATGTATGATGCGGTGTGTAACCATGACTTACTCGCGTCTCCAGGCGAGGGGCCGCGGGGACGAGCTCCTTGACCTTGGCGACGGCCTTTTCGAGGGCGGGCTCGGAGATGTCGGCCAGCAGGACATTGGCGCCCTCTTTGGCGAAGAGGATGGCCGTCTCAAGGCCAATGCCGCTGTGTGAAGCAATGGCATGTCAGCAAATGAATCTGTCTGTCGGACAAGAGAGGTGTAAAGACAAACTCACCCCGCGGCACCGGTGATGATGGCGTTTTTGCCAGCCAGACGTCCAACCATGATTGATGAGTGTGTTTTGTTTGTTGTTTTACAAAGTCCGGAGAGAGCAGTGTTGAAGAGAGAGCTGGCAGTGGCAACGGTGAGGTTGAGGTTGAGATTGGGTTTTAATCTTGGGACGCAACGCAAGGGGTGGAGTTGGCCTGGCCATCTGATGCGTTGCCGTAATCTGTCGTACCTGACTCTGGGTCTCTACGGTGGGGTTTTGACGAGGCCTTGAGTAGCCGCGGCCAGGAATGGAATCTTGACGGAGAAGCTTCTATTACTGCTAGCTGCTGCTGCTGCTACTACGGCGCTCAGGGGACTCGATGCCCAGCATTACTGCATCCGTACAAGCACAACGCCCTATCGCGACAGCACTGTGGCAGTTGCTAGAAAACTTCCCAAAGCACGACTAGCAGCGAGGCTGGTTAGTGGCCCGTGGGCAAAGTATGACATGCCCGGCTCCATCAGGGAGGGGACCCCTAGATTTGCGGTGGAGGGGCTCCGACAGCGGATGGAGGGGTTTGGCAGATTGAGCTGGATGTTGATGCTGCTGTGATATTGTGCACGTGTAGATGATCAAAGATCTTGTATCTAATCAGGGAATGCCAACGTTGCATGTACTAGATTGCATATATACAGGCTCACACACACACATCTCATCTCGCAGCCATCACACATGGCATGCATCCAGTACACGCACAAGATAAGACCATGACTCGATCCGCTTCTCCAACTGATAACGACTGGCCGTTGCGGCTAGCCTCCCTCCGGTTCCTGTTTTTTCCCCTCCTCCGCGCAGGAAATCAAATCAGCAGCGCTGGTTGCCTGAGCCGCGGCCAACGTGCCCCGCAGGCTGATTCCCCTCCAAATGGACCTCATGGGCTTGTGCCGTCTCCAACACCGCAGGAAGATCGTCAGAGGTCCAGTTTGCGATACGTAATTTGAACCGGCTCGCGAGATCCGAGCATACGACGATTACAGGGAAAAGGATCTGGTGAATCCGTGTGGGCGTGCGATTCTTTCTTGTTCGAATCGAGTCTTGGGCCATCGATCGGCGCATCGTCGCATTCCACTGATAGCTGTTGCTGGATTTCTGCCTCTCTCCGTTCTGACTTGTAACCATTTCACCATCACCGCCCTATTCTCGTCTCACAACTCGTCTCCAGCTACAACAACCTCCTCTCAACAGGACACTTGACTCTTCATCACTCACTTCAACACTCAACATGGCCAAACCCGCCCTCACAGCCGACGCCCTCGAGGCCCTCCTCGCCAACGACTCCAAAGTCAAGCTCGCCGGCCTCGACGTCGACGGCATCCTGCGCGGCAAGCTCGTCTCCAAGAGCAAGTTCCTCTCCATCGCCAGCACCGGCTTCGGCTTCTGCTCCGTCATCTTTGGCTGGGACATGCACGACATGACGTACGTGCGCGAGCTCAAGATTTCAAACGCGGAAAACGGCTACCGCGACCTGCTGGCGATCCCGGACCTGCAGAGCTTCCGCAGGATACCGTGGGAGGACAACGTGCCCTTTTTCCTCATTACGTTCCACGACCCGGACACGAAGCTGCCAATCTGCGCGTGCCCGCGCGGGCTGTTGCAGACGCAGCTGGACCGGTTGCGCCAAAAGGGCTACGGCGCCATGGCTGGGGGTGAGTGGAATCTCTCTATAATGAATATGAATATCACATTGACCTCCATCTTCTCTCTAGCTGAATACGAATTCTACACGTTCCAAACCCCAGACTCGGCCTCCTCGCCCGCCGCCTTCCTCCAGAACAACCCGACGCAGCAGCTGCCGTCGCTCACCGAGGGCATGTTTGGCTACTCGCTCACGCGCCCCGTCCACAACAAGGACTGGTACTACCAAGTCTTTGACACCTGCGAGGAGTTCGCCTGCAACATTGAAGGCTGGCACACCGAGTCCGGCCCGGGCGTCTTCGAGGCCGCCCTCGAGTTCAACGAGGCCGCGCAAATGGCCGACCGCGCCAGCCTGTTCAAGTACGTCGTCAAGAGCGTCGGCGCCCAGCACCGCATCACGCCCTGCTTCATGGCCAAGCCCAAGCAGGGCCTGCCCGGCAACAGCGGCCACATGCACGTGTCCATTGTCGACGAGAGCGGCAAGAACCTGCTGGCGCGGGAGACGGTCGACGAGAATGCGCCGTGGAAGGACATTGCCGGCCTGTCGGATCTGGGCCGCCACTTCCTGGCCGGTGTCCTGGAGGGCCTCCCCGACATCATGCCCGTGCTGGCGCCCACCATCAACTCGTACAAGCGGCTGGTCGAGAACTTTTGGGCGCCCGTCACCGTCTCGTGGGGCCTGGAGCATCGCGCCGCCTCGATCCGCCTCATCGCGCCACCCACGGCCAAGGCCTCGGCCACGCGGTTCGAGATTCGCGTTCCCGGCGCTGACACGAACCCGCACTATGTGCTCGCTGCTGTCTTGGCCTGCGGCTGGCGCGGCGTGGAGAAGAAGCTCGAAATCCCCTGTCCGCCGCTGGCCATGGGCGAGAATGTCGGCGGCTCCTCAGATGCGGGCGCGCGGCTGGCAAAGAGCCTGCGCGAGGCAACAGCCAAGTTCACGGCCAAGGACAGCATCGCGAGGGAGGTGCTTGGAGATGATTTCGTCGACCACTTTGGCGGCACCAGAGAGCATGAGATTCGGCTGTTTGACGAAGCCGTAACGGATTGGTAAGAGGCCCTCGTCTTTTTTTTTTTTTTCGATGACTGTAGCTAACTGTCCACAGGGAGATGAAGCGGTACATCGAGTCCGTGTAGGGTGTAAGGCGTCAAAGACGGAAGAGTATATATATATATGATTTGGTGGCAAATATGAATTGCTACATGGATGCGCGTGGTTTTCGATAGCAAGAGACGTAGATACCAGCGGGGACTGTGTTGGCTAGACTTGCTTTTTTCTTTTCTTTTCAGATAGCTGAACCCTGTATTAGCGTGCCCTTTTTTTTCGCAATGATTCGTCGTCTCTTTTTTGTTTCCTGCGAGAAAGCATCAAAGAGGCCGTAGTCTCTAGTTTTTGTTTCTTGTTGCGAGATTTTGTGTTAGAGAGTTCTGTCTCCCTTGAGCTTGCTGCTCTTTTCAAAAGGTTTTCTTGCAGATATGAATGTTCTGTCATGAGTTGAATGTCAGCGTCATACAAAGACTCACACATATATAGAAAGTCACCACACATACACTTTGATGCAGCTCCTCAGCAGAGGATCCTTGTACTCCTCCATGACTCGCCCCAGCAAGTCGCGCGTCTTTTGCTCTTCCCAGCCCGCAAGGCCAAACATCCGCAGCGTCCAGTGGTCACAGCCCGGAGCAAGCATCTTGTTGAGGATCTCGCCCTTTTTGTTCGTCACCGGATCTCGTGCCCAGTTGCGCACCGGCAGCCAGTCCGACCGCTCCCTCACGCTCTCGGCGCCAACCTCCACCAGCCACGGCCGTACTTTGGGCGTCGGATCGAAGTCGATGCCCTGCGCGGCCGAAATCTCGGCAAACACGGCGCCGTACTCGATCGCCGCGGCACCCACATCGGCCCGGGGCTTGTCCGCGTCGCCAGCACCGCCGGAAGATGCCTCCGAGGGCGTCTCGGCCAGCGGGTCCGGGTCGACGGCGAAGAAGAGCGGCGTGACCTCGGTGAACTCGAGCTGGCCGCCGGGCTTGAGGTGGTCAAAGGCCTGCACAATGAGGCGCTTCCAGTCGCGGATGCCGCCGCCGACGAGATTCCGCAGGTGGACAAAGTCGTACAGCCGCGGCGGCCAGGGCTCGGCGGCGTCGGCAATCTCAAACGTCAGGTTGGGCGGCACCTCCTTGGGCAGGTTGGCGCTGCTCAGCTCGATGCCCAGCACGTCGACGAGCGGGTTGGTCAGCGCCATCTCCATGGCCCAGTGGCCGCCGCCGCAGCCGACGTCGAGGATGTGGAAGGGCGAGGCCTCGGGGTCCAGCTCGAGCTTGTCCAGGGGCAGCTTGGTAAAGGTCAGGGCGCCGCCGAGGCACAGCGTGAAGAGCTCGTGCTGGTGGCCCTGGCGCGCGTTCTCGTGGCGGTCGTTGGGCGTCACCATGCGGCCGGAGCCGTGGTAGACGTGGCCGTAGGCGTGGATGGGCGGCAGGGCGTCTTCCGAGGCCGTCGAGTAGTTGGAGTTGGAGTCGCTGGCCGTGGCGTCGTCGTCGTCGTCGAGCTCTTCTTCTTCTTCTCTCTCTTCTTCATTGACCTGATCTTCTTCATGGCCATCATCTTCTTCGTGTAGACGATGGACGTCTTCAACGCCCTCGTCGGTGGGAGGCATCCTCGTCGCCGCCATCGTCACTTTAGCTGATGCTTTGAAAAGCTGCAGATGCTCAGCAAGCTTTGTCTGCTCTCCCCTGTTTAGCCACTCTCTGGTGCTTGTCCCCAATCTTTTATCAATCTCTATCCCTGGCCTCACTTCAGTCTCGTCTCAACCCCCTTTGGACGTCTTCGGTGTGCCGCCGCGATTAGCAGTGCTAGTATCCGTAATTGATAGTAGGATTGATGTGGAGCTGGACTACCACCCGCCCCAATTTAGACAAAACCTGGAGCCGCGAGCTTGTCCAATTTTATTTTATTAGTCTCGTCGTTGCCGTTTGTATCTCGGCGTATACAACTGCGATTGCGTCAAGTTGGGCTTCAGAGCCGGGGGATAACTAGTAGTAGTAATAGCACGACAGCAGCCCTTTCTCACACCCCCTTGCTCCTTGGCGAAGAAGAAGAAAAAAAAAACCAAGACAAACAAGGCTGGTCAGAGTCTCCACGTGGCGATTATGCTCAGCTTGAACAGCCCGTCAGGTGATGTGAGCAAACGTGAGATGACAGTCAAGACCCTGGTAGATGCAACTACAAGGCAATACTTGCGTTGGTGTTTGGTGACATCAGTACCTTGTCCACCGTCAAGTAAATGAAGAAACAATTTGCCCGGCTCGAATCTCCGTGATGTTGGGCAGCGGCAGACGGGCTAATAATAGACTGAGTCGCGCGGAGCGAGATGAAGAAGAGAACCGACTTAATTTTGGAAGCCGGGAGTTGCATGTGGTCAATGGCCTGTCTTGACAGAGAAAAGGCAGCAGTTGTCGCCTGCCGTTGAAATGATATAAAATCGGAGAGAAATGGCTTCTTAGAAAGCAAAAAACGTGCCTCGTAGAACAAGCGTGTTTGTCAATCGAGGAAATAAATAACAAAAAGCTGCATCAAATCCAAGGAAGAAACAGAAAGAGGAAGACAAGACAATTACAGGAAAAGAAAAAAAAAAGATCAAGGACGGCAGAAACACGGAACAGAAAAGGAAAAGAAAAAAAAAGTAATTAAAATAGATTAAAAAAAAAAGCCACGTCAAAAATACGATAATAACAAAAAAAAACAAAAAAAAAAAAAAAAAACGTGAGCCCCCAATCCCGCGTCAAATAATGAGCGATACGGACAGGGGGGTTGCTGCAGAAAAGGCCCGTCGTGGCCTATCAGCCCCAGGGGAAAAAATCGGGCATAGTAACCCTTTTTTGTTGCTGGAAATGGTCTTTTGACAGCCCGGCACAAGGACTGTCCCTTTTTTTGTAACAAATGTCCCGCCGAGAAGATGCCTCGACGATGTTGATGGAAGGCTGCTTGCCCTTTTTGCCGTTTATTACCTAAAAGGCCGTCTCCATCTCCATCTACATCTGCATCTATATCTGCAACAATCAACCTCCTTGTCGCTCGGGGCCTAGCCGTAATAACATCCAATAAGTATACATGCCCTCGTCTATATGACATGTCTACTGCTGTTGGTCGAACAAGTCACGGAATCAAATCCATCCGTCCTGCTTCATTTCATTACCCAATCTCTTCTCTTCCCTCTGCAGAGATGAGACAAGCCGTCTTTCCCTTCGCTTCTGTTACTCCAGTCAGCAGAATCCCCGCCAAGAATTGCTCGGCCTAATAGCTGCATTGCGTCTTGTTGTCTCACGTTGGAGAAGAGAAAGACTCCATCACGGCGCAGCGTGCATCATCTCATCCTTCCGGCTATTGCATGGCCCCGGCTATTGCAATGGCCGTCTGCCGCTGCAACGCTGGAGGATTTGCTGCTCAGACAAAACTGTCCATCTTTGTGTCTTCCCCACGCGTGGTTAAGCGAATGCGGTCAACTTCTGATAACTAAACCAGCACACCTCCCTTGCCGGAGTTGCGTCCCTAGGTACGTCTTCAACAGGCATAGCCAGCAAGAGAGTTCGTCCTAAAACTCTGCTGCCTTGCCCCAAAGTAGGTGCTGTATGCGCTCTACCAACAACATGTCACAATTCACCTGCATATGATATCACTTTTCATCTGATACAAAACACCAAAAACCCATCCAACAAGCAGCAACACCATCCATCGCCTCCAAGCCATCAACCAACTGCAGCAAAACCGTCCGCCGGAGATGGATCCTACTGGCCCGCCATCTCGTCCCTTCTCTTCTCTGCCGTCCACCCATAAAGAGAGCACATGCGTGATATGCACGCCCTAGATGCACTGCAACCGTAGTTAGTCAGGGGGCCTGTCTCTTCCAGTCCCTAACGGGGATTGCTTCCGCCCGTTGGCTGGACCTCCCATGCGGTTTAAGCCGTTGCTGCATATCCTGCCAAACCGGAAAGAGACCCCTTCCGCCAGAACAAACCTGTTGGAAATGGACTTTGGACAATGACGCGCGGCGGTCCGTAGCCAAGGGAACCAGATGGGTTTATTCCGAAACCAATGTCATGGAGCAGAGGCGTAGTTTTCTCTTCCTCTTCTCTCTCTGTGCCGCTGTCAAACTCGAACCCCCCCCCCCCCCCTTTCAGAAAATCTCCGCGTTACAAGACTCTTGTCACAACGAGACAACTTCCGCGCTCCATAATAACGGGCGAGCGTGTCATGTAGCAACTACTACACGAAAACCCGCAATCAAGCAGCTCCATGGCTCGCGGATATGCACATAAGACAAAAGACTCGCAATCCAACCACATGCACATCACTGCTTACAAAGAAACACAAATGCTACAGTACGATGACATTGTGCTACAAGCAGCATAGTACCTCTCTACCAGTGCTGTTATTGGCCACCAGCAGGCTAGACTCATGTAAAGGCTTGTGTTGCTGTTGGGACGATACAGGATACAATGCAGATAAGACCACGTCGACCACAGCCCTGGAGACAAAATGTCGCTGCCTATGCAATGGAGACGGCCTGTATTGGCGATTCCAAATGCCCTACAACAGGAAAGCAGAAACCAAGAGCCTCAATTGCATAGAATCAGCGTTGGAATGTGTACTCTACATTAAAAATTGTAACCAGCAGCCTCGGATATTATACGTCAAGACAACAGAGTCGGAGACGAAGCGAAAGATTATAATAACACACCCCATCCATGATTGATTACAAAACTATAAACAACAATTCTCACAACCCATTGGAAAACGGCTCCAGTGACACAATCTTTCTATACAACATTACTCTGTTCTCATACAACAACACCATGATAGACCACTCTATATAAAAATCCATACAATACCACCACCCGTCGCAACCTTCCAATGCAACTCCGGCCTCGCCGTCTTGGCATCGAAACACCAAGCCCCAGTTCCCAAGACACAATAAATCAACATGCTGTACGACGCATAACGAGGCTCCATCCACTCATTGTCTAGGCGGGGATTCAGACTCGGGTATGCCAGAATCCACCGCAATCCAACGCAAGTGTGCACTGTCAGCCTGATACCTTGGGTAGTACTGGCTGTCTTACTCAGGGCACATGCTATGGAACTTCAATGTATCTGTGGTCTCGTCAATGCAAGTCATCTTAGCAGGATACTACCTGCTTAGGTAGGCAAGGCCCAGGAGCAACAGCTGCAACAACTTCAACGTCAGCCTCGGCTATCCAACAGACACAACACACGTAGCAGACCAACAGGAAGAATCAAAAGCATAAGCGCGGAGCAGAGGATAGAACAAGCAGTGATTGCATTTAGTAGTTTCCTCCGACCTGGTCTCCCAAAAACGCCGATGCTATGACGTATCATAATATAACAAGAATCTTAAACCTCCGCCATATCGCCACCGCCTTGACATACCCTCCATGATTGCCTCGGGGACAAGAAAAAAAAAAAAGAGAACGGGGCAGCAAAAGCCAAATAACGCTGGTACAAATAATGGGCTCGGTTGCCCTGCGAATCTTCCCCCAGGCTGGACTTTGAATCAGCCTCGCTTCACTCCCCTCTCCCTCTCTCACCCATGCCATCCATAGGTAGTTTCATCTCAACTTCATCCAAGCATTCCATCATTAAGAAAAGTGCGGTAAGCAGACAAAGCTGGGTCCCGCAACAAAAAGAAGCATGCCATGCCTGCCAAATGATGCAAAGAAGCATATCAATCCTCGCAAGAAAAAGAAAGAAAAAAAAAGTAATCTTCTCCACCCATGTAGCTGGAAGCGATCAAGAGCCTTTCGCTTTACTTATATCGACCATCTTATGCTGTATCTGTCTTTCTTACTTCGTTCTGCTGAACCAGTTCGATCTTGGCAAATATTGTTTTCAACTTGCCTGGCAATGGCCGAGATCAAATGAAAAAGCTCAAAGCTGAGCTCTTGAATCCCATCAACGGGTGTGAGTAGTGCGCGTGTCACAAAAATCTCATGAATCCTTCCGCCGTTTTCGTCCGCTGCCACGGCCGTCCGAGTGGTCGTCATCCGGAACGTATTCTTCTGGGTGGAAATCGGGGTTGCCATAGTGCGCCTTGTTCCACACGCTGTTCTTAAAAGTAGTGCTCCTCGGTGCTTGGTCTACTGTGTCTCTAACGGTAGTAGTCCTACTCTCGTCATACTCCAGCTGGAAGGGGTTAAACACTATGCGGTACCCAGGAGTGTGATCCGCCGGCCGCACATTCGAAACAAGCCCAGGGAGGTGGCTGCTGCTGCTGCTGTTGCTCCTGATACTTGTGGCGTTCATCATTGTCGGGCTGGGAGTCATGGAGGTGCTGGGAGTCATTGGAGCTGGCGAGACTACAGGGGGGAATGAGGGTGGCGGTTGCTGCTGTGCAACCTGAGAGGGCACGGGCTCGGGAAACGGCGTCGCCCACGAAGGTTGCTGTTGCGACGATATATAACGGTCGTCAACAGGACTGGCCATGGGCGGCGTCATGGGCGATATTTCGGGCATGGAAGTCATTGGACCCAGCGAGTTCATGCCGAAGCCAGGTAGCATGGAAAGGATATCCATGTTGGCTCCCGGGAAGCCCGCCTCGCCGCCAGGAACCGCATGGATGGCAAGATTGTTAGTCAGGCTAGAGACTCGGTTTACCTGTACATCAGCAGCATTGGAAGCGAGAGTCGACGGAGCCTGGACGGGTGGCGTGCGGTACAGGATGTCGTAGTGGTCGGGGCGATAGAGCAGATATATCGTAGGCCCAAGAGCTGCCGGGTCCTGCTCGTTGGCCTCTTCCGGGAAGCGATAGCGATTAACTTGGCTGCCGGGGCTGCGGTCCAGGTAAGCAACCTCCAAGACGAAGTCGATTGGCTTGAGCAGCAGGTTGGCCAAGCCAACGATGCCCAGGTGCTCAATCTCACGGTTGACAATGTCAATCGCCTGCGAGCAGTATGCCGCAATTCCTCCATGGTCGGCAACAAAGGGGTCGTAGATGGCTGCATTTCCCTTGAGATAGGTGGCGGCCAGCATGCGGAAGTAGTAGATGATGTTTGCCTCGACGGTGTTGTCGTTGAAACGCTGGAGCAAGATGACTCGAGCCAGGCCCGGGTTTGCAATGTTGGCAGCAACATCTCGCAGCAAGCCGTGAGCCTCTTCGGCAAAGTCTTCGTGGTATTCGTAGCGGCCAATGTTGGAGAGCATGGAGCCGAGGCTCATGAGGCGGGCCACCTCGCCTTCGATCCGGGCTTGGTCTCCGAGGTCGATGAGCTTCTCGTAGTAGGCGAATGCGATGGCTGGAGAAGCTTGTCATTAGCAGGGTACGAAAGAAGAGCAGGCCAGGCTCGACTCACCGCGCCATCCGCAGTTTCCATCACCCTTGATCTGGCGATAGTGGGAGTATGTCTGGGGCAGAGCCTGAAGTGGGGGAAAGAAAGCAGTCAGCATCGGCACTTGTCATGACATGTCATTCATCCTCTTGCGTCTCGTCTTGTTTTCTGTGGGTTTGTTGTCTTGTTGTCCTGTGGTTTCAATCCAGCTCGCCTTTCCGCCATGTTGACAGCTTCTCACTTGATTGATCGAGGATGAGGGACGGGGAGGGACAAGGGAGACAAACAATGGTCTTTTCGACGTATACCGGGTCGGCTTTGGCGTACTCCTGGGTGATGGCGTCGCTCGGCGTCTTTTCGCCGACAAACGGGCCCTGTTGGAAGCAGAAGACGTTAGCAATGCCCTCTTTTTCCTCTGAGGATCCCTTCATTCGCCGAGCAGCTCCTCTCATAGACTGCTGCTGCGTCGCAACCCAGAGGTGCTATTCACTCTCCACTGGTCGATTCTCTCTCCCCAAGTTCTACGCACCTCGAGGCCTGGCTGGAACCGCTCGGCCGCGGCCTGCTGCGCGGCCATGTCGTGCAGGCCGGCGTCCTGGTCCTCCATCTTGATGACGGGGCTGCCGCTTCGATCGAGGCGCTGTCGCAGGGCAAACTGCTGGTGCTGGTGCTGGTGATGCGGAGACGAAGAGCTGTAGGGCGGGTAGACTTGAAAGCCACCGCTCGATGCGCCAGCTCCAGCGCCAGCTCCGGTGGGGAACAGAAAGTCGAGGCTGTGGGGAGCTGCTGCCGCTATGCCATAGGGGAAGGGCGAGTAGGAGGAGCCTGAATAGGGCGTTGGCTGAGCCTGGAACATGCCTGTGCTCCGCAAGGGCAGCCGGAACCAGCAGAGTTGGAAGTGTGTGGAGGAGGAAGAAGAGTCGAGAGTCGAGGTCGAGGTCGAGGTCAAAGGGTTGCCGTGATCGATCAGCGAGCTCTTGCGGCGTCACAGCGGGCGGCAGCTGCGTCTGGTGTGTTTAGCGGCAGCTTCAGTGGCACCGGCCGGCGCTGGTGGTGCTGGTGTCCACTGTGATGGAGGTCCGGTTAATATTGAAGTGTGCAAGTGCTGCTGCTGGGCAATGGAGCAAGCAAGTGAATTGGATTAAATGTTTTTGAGGACAAGATATTAAAGATCAATGCAAAATGCAAGATAAGAAGAAGAAAGGCTAGGAGGGGGAAAGAATAAAAAAAAAAGTCTAGAGCACCAGCGGCTATTATCTCTGTTTGCGTTCTTGCCTCTTTCTCTCTCGTCCTTGGTTCCTTGATTAATATTTTTATTTTTTGTTTTTATTTCCTAGCTTTTTTCGAGTTAGCGGCGGTAGCAGCGGTTAGACGTGCGGGAGGAAATAAAAAGAAGTGGTGCAGGCGGTCGGTGCCGGGGCGATGGCAAGTACTGCCGCCATGCGTGCAAGTACAGGTACGGGCACTGGGGCTGGTACCGGTACCTGGCAACTGTCCGTACCTTGCTCAGTCAATTTGACGTCTGGTTGAATTGTTTGCCGTCTCCAGCCTCAGCGTTCCAGAGCCGGTTCCCTTGAGTGCTGACCGGGGCCACGGGCGCTGGTGCTGCCTGTACGGTGCGCTGGCGGCGGGTGGGCCGCTGTGAAGCCGCGTTTTGGGCCCTGTCTAGCGCTATGGCAGCGCTGGAGCTCTCTGGGGGCGGGTTCAGCACAAGTCCAGGCGTCGCGACCGATTAGCGAGCTTCGGCTGGGCCGTGGCCTTATGGATCACGGGACGGGAGGATGTGAATTGAGAGCTGGGAGTTGAGAGATTCGGAAAATCGACAAAAGCCGAAGGAAGCCGAGAAGAAGCAAGCAGTAGACGAGTGAACAAGAGATGTTTGTCACCGAGATACAAGCAAGGCAGAGAGAGGGCAGAAAGAGTTGAATGAGAGCGGGCTGCAGTCTGTACTGGAACCTCCACTTCAACTGGAGAAACCACAACCAGGGCCGATATGTAGGTACGGGCTCTGCTTGTATGTATGCGCTTAGACTCCGGCAAGCCTAAAAAAAAGTGACGGCGGGATGAGAGAGAGAAAAAACATGAAATGTGACCAAGTCCTGGCTTATATGCCAAGTCATGGCCTCAGCAGGCGGGTTGCAACGTAAAAGCGTGTCTGGCCCCGGCCGAGTTGCGAAATGCTCGCACATCAACTCCCGCAAGGCCTCGGCCACGGGCTCCAGGGATGGCAAATGGAGACGAGGCTTCGGGGTACTTGTGGCTCTACTTGTTGCTTGTTGCTTGCTGCCTGCTACTGTACACGCCCTCTCTTCTTCTCTGCTGCATAACCAGGCACATCTCTCTCCAATGAGCCTCCGTGTACATCTAGGCATCTCAAACTCTCAAGCCACTGGCTGGTCAGTGCTCCAAGATTGAAAAGACCTTCTCCGGAAGGCTTGCAGAGACAGGCAAGTAGAATACTTGGTCCTTGTACTGCTACACTGCTGGGTACAAGCTGGAACAAGGTCCAGGATGATCAGAGACATGCATTAACAGCTCAACGCGATGTGATGGGGACAGGCCAAGCACAACAAGCGACCGGGGTCTCGCGTAGAGTAGGACTTGTTGTACCACTACCGACAACGAACCCTTGCAACCCGAGGACCAAGGCCAGAATCAAGCAAGAATGGAATAAATAGTAATTGACGTGTAAACCTACCTACATCACGAGAATGAATGCAGTCAAGTACTCATCTTATTATACGTAAAGCTTATAGGCACTAACCCAGCAGTACCGTTTCCATTTACTTCAATCAAACGCTGTAAGCCATCCGGCTGTCGGCTCACAGAGATGCCGTCAGGGCCCATTGGCTGCAGGAACAAAAGACAAGTCAATCCGGATAATAATAAAAAAATCACCAGCAGGTGCCTGAGCTTCTGGGGAGACGTCTGCTCTGGGGGGGGGCGATCTGGTCCCCAGCCTAGAGTGGGCAAGGTGAAGAGGCCCATATACTAGCTACGGATCCAGCAGTTAACCCCCATGCTCGTGCTTCCAAAGAACGGTGAGAACGACGGCCAATTTAACAAGGTGCGGACCGAGAGAGCTTAGGAACAAAAGCCCGTCAGGGGGAGGGGAGTCGCCCCGGTCAAAAGAGCCCACGCAACTCGCGGGTAAACTGGGACAACGCAATAGTGGCCGCCGTGCTAGTAGGTACACGATCATGGCACTACTGTACTGTACTGTAGCAGCATGTATGTACGTGCTGGCAGCCATCACGGAGCGAGATGGAAGGCAAGGGTAGAGGCGACGATGGACTTGAAGGAGGTACAAGTACATGTGCCTATACGCAGTTCCGGCAGGGGAGGGGATATCCCAGCAGTGGCTGGCTGTATCATGTGCGTGCGTGTCAGTGTGTGTGTCTGCTCCATCCAGAGTGCTTGTCCACCATACTGTGCATGGCTCACGTAACTGTTACAAGTGCAGGCGAGTACTGGATCCATGTGGTCGGTTGCGTGCTTCACCCGCGAATGCTATGGTGCCATGCCGCAGCGGCGAAAAAAAAAGGTGGCGCTCTGGGACATATGAGAGTCGGGGCTAGAAAGAAGGCTTCACGCTGGGAGGCGTCAATGCCTCGAGTCAAGAGACCGGCGGGCAGGGAGACGAAGAGAAGCCGGAGTATCAAGTGAGGGGGTTGAGGGGTGGCAAGCAGAGCTGAGGACATAGGTCTGCCTCGTATAAACGAGCGGGCAAATAAGAGGGAAACGATGGCAAAGGATGCTTGTACGAATGCTGTAAGAGAGCCTTGGAGACGAGACGAAAAGAAATCCCACAAGCCATGCGGACCTGACGCAGCGGGCCTTGAAGCCGGTCGGGTTCGACTCCGTAGTGCCGGCTGCATGTACAGGGTCATGGCAAGTTCCAAGCTCCATGAGAAAGCCAGGACCGAGATCGAGCAAGGGAGCGTTATAATAGCCGTTGTTACATGCGGTGACGAGGCTGCAACCCAACCCTACTCTATACCGCGTGGGTACTACGTATTTGCTAGGGCGTGGGCTGTAATAACGCTTCGTGCAGGCTTTGGACTGTCTATGCATCGGCTTGGTATTGAATTCTACTTGCAAGTACCAGATGTATTGACAAGGGAGGAACAAGAGGTGAGCGAGCGAGCAGCAGCAATTCGGCCCATCTTGCCGTACATGTGCCTAGTGCATAACAACACATGGCATGATATTGGAGCTCTACAAGTACTTGGATATGCGTCATCAACAACTGCCGACGCAAATAGTATCAAAATAGATGGCTCCGTATCCGAGCTGGAACAAGAAACAGCAAAGCCTGACTTGCTGACACACGCCGCCCCGTCTTATACCGTCCCGGTCATTGCCTCTGCCTCTGCTTCTGCCCCTGTAGGTATTACGCCAAGGACTGGAACAAGATTGAGGCGAGCTGGACCTTGGAAACGTCGCCGCCAGTGTCGTCATTTCTGCTGTGCATCTCTCTGCTTTCTTGTTTCCAATGATAGGACTTGCGAGAGCACCTCGGGGCGCTGTAGGCTACTTGCGAGAGTACAGTTGGATTCATATTAATATGCCGCAGACAATGCCGCAGTTGGTACATGTATCCAAAGGAACATGTACCTGGGACGCGGTTACACCGCATTGCATTGCACGAGCAAGGGACTGGAGCTCGAGGCCTAGGCACTGGACAACGCGTTGCTGCTTTTCGTTTTGTTTCTTTTCCCGCTCAATCAGTACATATCCGACGAAATACCTACACACAGCTTTACTACGCAAGCCTACTAGACGTCGTTGTTTGCTACACGTATTTGGTGTCGCCATTCAGCTTATAGTCCACCTGCTAGTCTACTCGTCGTAATTGATATTCAATGGTGCTCCCGTCCTCAGAGGTACCTTGTACCCAGGGCCATTTTGCTCGTTCCCGATAGCTGGGAGAAGGAACAAATGCCTGCATGTAACAGGAGGGTAGCTGCAGATTATCGAAGCCGGGGGTGGCCACTTGAAAAAAAAAAAAAAAAAGAGGAGTGCAAAAGAAAAAAAAAGGCTACAGGGTGCGAGATTGGCTGCGTCGTTCTTTGGACCACACGGCAATGCCGGTCACAGCCAGGACCGGGGTGCCTTTTGGAAGGAGAGGGGAGATGAAGGGAAGAAGACAAAAGGCTGGGGCTGGTGGTGCTCAATAGTTGCTACAGGCATGGCATGTACTGAGATTGAGATCCAAGTAGGTACTGTACATGTATAGATAGGTCGGTCTTTGTAATATGATGCTGCTGCAGGAGGTTACGCCGCTCATCGAGAGCGAGGCTCGGAAGCATCAACCTGCATATGCGTACATACGCTCCACTCCACAAAGTCACGGATACAGGCCGCTCCAGTCAATGCGTATACAGCACACACATGTTTCTGCTCTGGAGCCTGTGCGAGCTGCACGTCGCCGGCGATGACAAGCGCGTGTGGGAGCAGTGAAGCTGGGCGTATCGGAAGCGACTCTGAGCCACGGCGATGCAACGGGCGATGAGCCTCTGTGCCCGGAGCGATGCGGGCGTGTGTGCGTCTGTCCTCGCATATTGGATCCATGCTCTGTGGCACCTTGCTTTGGCACACCCGTCTTGTTACTGCCGAGGTCTTTCAGGCGTGGTTATGGTTATGGCAGCGTAGACAAGTTGTTTAGCATAACCAGCTATGCCAACTGCGTGCATCTATTTTCGCATAGAGGGCTTGACTTGAACATCCGCTGACGCTGACCTTTGTCCCATTGGACGCGGCTTTGAAATCGGTCAGCCCGCAGCATATGCGTCTTTATCTCGGCAAAGCTTCAACGGGTGCCCAGCCAATTCCACGCTTGCAATCAATGGCTCTATGCATTCATTGTACGATTGCACGAGTGTGAGCACCGGTAGTTGTATCACGAATCAAACCACTGGTAGATTCAATACGTTTAATTCTCAATGTCCATCCCCTTGCAGAAGAAGAAATGGGGCTCGCTTGGTGATCAAACTCTCCTCGCCCTATTTGTGACCGGGGCGAGTTGTCCTGCCTCACCTGCGGGCTGATATTCGGCGAGCCATACAGCCTGCTCATGTATGTGAAGGAGTAAATCACATCACTGCAGCACCAGGGGCCGGGCGCTTGAGACCATTCAACGCATAAAAGTATAGCCTACGTGCAGCAAGTTTGCTCTGCTCGCCAAGTCTACATCTAGGTATCTACGTGTAAGTTGCGTCTTGCTCGTTGCATGTACCTATTCATTGATTAGCGTCGGTGCTTGGCCAGCCTTCAGGCCCTGTCAGGGCTTTTGCGCGAGTATACATTACTCTATTGCTTCCTGGACAACTGCAAGCTACACATCATCTTTCCTGGCGATCAGACACCGAAGCTGTAAGCCAGCCCAATCAGTGTTGAGCCAAGGCGGAGACGCTGAAGGCTGTTTCGTATGTACAGACAGGCATCGTCTTGTTGGCTCCTCTTTTGTTCCTGCCTTCTCCCTTGCTTTCCCTTGCTCTTCTTTTCTTTTTGTTTCTCAGTTACCAGGGGTTTCAAGCCAAGCATATCCGTTGGTTACATACATACATGTCCGTCCATTCTCTGAAATAAAGTTGGCCGACACTCCCCACTGACGCTTCCATCATTGGCGCTGCTCGCTGGCCACTTGCACGGTTCTGGTACATTTCGCCGGTCCAGCTGTATTCCCGTCTGCCTGCTGCTGCATCGTTGCCGCCGCCACTTGCTTCTTCCGCCTCTCTTCCTTTGGTTCTTCCTTTTGCCTCCCCACTTCCGGGACCCCTTCCAGTTCCAGGTCCTTGTTCAGCCGTCTTACTCAATAGGGAGGTCAGTAGCAAGAAAGAGTAATCACAGGGCTACTGCCTAGGCTCGAGCAGTACTAGCAGCAGTCGGAAAGAGATGACTTCGAACGGCTTCTGGGGAACGGACTCTGTGTGCTGGGAGATGCTGGGAACTACCTTGGAGGTACCCGAGCTCGCCGACTCCAGAACGCCTCGACACATGTAGCGCCATGTGCCCAGCGCCTCTCGAGCCCTGCTTAGCGCTGTGATGTCCAGTTCTTAGTGCTGTATGCCTCGAATGTATACTTGTGCCTACATACATGTATTTACAAGGAAGGGCATCTGTACATGGAGAACCGCTGCCATCGTTGTCAGTCGACTGCCGAATCCTGACCCGAGCCCTCTGCATGCCACCAGCCGCCCGTCTCCATACTTACCGCAGCCCCAGCTCCCAGGCCCAGGCCAATGATGAAGACGACGTCGTCAAAATAGCTCCCGCTGTCGATCTCAGCGCTCCTCCCTAGCGGCGCTGACTTGTTTCTTCGTTATGCTAGCATGGTAGCACTAGCAGTGTTTGCCCTTTGGCCACTAAAACGAAGAGAGGGGCCGCCAAGATCTCATGGGTTAGGGGAGCAAACATCAATAGTTCTAGCATACTAGAGTATATTCCAGCCATGCCCTAGGAGCAGGCGTTGAAGGCGAGATACCGACGGCTGCAGAGGGGATGCTACTGTGCAAGGTCTCGGGAGAGACTAGAGTGTGTACAACGTGATAGATGGGTACATGTACATGTAATCCTGACGGCTCCAGGATATGGCATACAAGCAGAGCACTCAGAAAGCCACGCAACAATATCACTCTATTTTACTTTGCAAACGACCGGGGCGCCAGAAAGACGAGCCACGCAGACCCATTGCCGCGGGCGTGTGCTTCCTTCGCTCCATGCAGCAACAGCCGATGCTATGCCTGGCTGCAACGACACGCATACAAATCAAGTCATCAGCGCGTAGCCTGCCGATTGGCTGCTCCCGCGGCCGCTGTGGCTTGCTTCTGAGACAATAAGCACGCAGCCGAACAGCGCATACTTACATTGTACGGCACGCTGTAGAGCTTGATGAGGGCTCTTGCATTGCCTGGCAGGTGAGGTGAGGTGGCCGGGCCTTGTATAAGCAGTGGTACGACTCTAGAACAGGTTTTTGCGCAAAGAAGGCTGAAGTTTCGTCTTCCAATCAGAAGAATTGCATAGACACTGATACATTAGGGCGCCGGAAGCTGTCGATACGCATTCCGTGGTTCGGATGGTTTCCGTGCAGTCCTTGAAGCGTACAAGTTTTCTCTCTCACACTCGTCTCTTCTCACCTCCTCGCTTAGAGTAGACTGTTCTAACATCTGTAGACTGGAGTTGCCTGTTGCTGTGATATATACAGCATCACACAGCTCATGACACCCCATCACCGCATCAACGTCAGCAATTAAAACTTGCTTTGCCCTTACCAGCAATGGGCAAGTTTCTCCGCGTCCCGTCCGCTGCATCACCGCGAAATTAACAAAAATGTGACGACCCCCTTGCCTGCACGCGGCGCTAATCGTGCCTTGTCGTTGGTAGCAGCGTGGTATCGCCTCCATCTTGGAGCTGTCCGGCCGCATCAAGTGCTGTGAATCAGTCAAGAAGGGGCTCCGATCAGGGCAGTATCCTGCGCAGAATTATCGACGTGTAATATTGCTGCTCCGCAGGCCAGCATGGAGATGATGCTAGCAGCTACTAAAAAGTAGGCCCTTTGATATCCTCCGAGACGGGGCGTTTCTGTGTACTGCACGAGGCACATTGGCCACTCCTTCGATGCATGTACAAGTACACATACTCGGTACCACCCCATCGACCTCGCCGGTATACATTAATTACGGATACTCCGTCCACCCATGCTCATCTCACGCACGTCCAGGCGCAGGTACCGGTACCCAGAGCTCAGTCGACCAGCTACGCACGGATACCTGCTTCATGCTGCTGGGTTTGGGATATCCCAGCAAGCTGCTTAATTCCACCAGGCATCTTAGTAATTGCTCTCAGCACAGAATGCATAGCTCTTAATTCCGCTAGAGGCTCCACTCGGCCGTTTTGCAGAATTACTTGGAATGGACAATGATGTCTGAGGCTGGTTGGCCAGTCGAGGCATGGATGTGGCATCTAGATGGACATGTATCTACTGGTACAAGTATTCCACAGCTGTACTTTGACCGCCTGCTTCTTACCGACTGGCCGGTAGCCCGGGTTATATTTCGAAAGCCGGTGAATGCCTACATCTAAGCGTTATTACATCGACAAGTGCAAGCATATATGCCAGCCCACAGTCCTATGACTATCGAGTTTGTCACATCACATGTGGCCAAGCACATGTAGCGTCTCTCGTATCACTACTAGTAGTTGCAGTCAGTATGCCAGCAACACTCACAGCACATGAGCTCAGTCATAACCGAGCTCTTTCTACAAGCCTGTTCCCTGCACTTGTTCCTTTGCCTCAGTGCTGGACGAGACCTCCACAGCACGCTGCTCCCCCTGTATTATACTCGTAGTGGCATCCTCGATGCATCTTCAGCTCCTGCACATGCCCATCTGCGTACCACCACACCTTGCAAAGGCAATACCACGGTGACCCCCACCTGACTGTGCTGTTAATTCCATAATATACTGCTAGCAATGTCTATTTTCAATGCGCTGTACGGAGCAGTATATACCACAAGTATCAGCAACACACATGCATAAAGACCGATGCAGGCTGCATTATCGCCATCATCACTTCGGATACCAGCACCGAGAAACTCAAAGCTTACGTAGGCCATTTCCCATGTGTGCGGCCGTATTCTCTGCATATCCCTCTGCATGTTTCAGTCTGCAAAGTGCGCGCAGAGGGCCGTCTATAGTATCAAATACATGTAGGCAGATGTACCTATGCATCAGGTGAGAGTTTTCATCTCCGCCACAAGCACACCACCCTCGATACAAGTACAGCAACACCATTATTATATGGTCTCCTCTGGGCTGAATGCTTCAATCCAAACACCGCGCCAAGCTGCACATTCACAACAACACGCAAGCTGCCTGCATAATAGACAATTACACGCATACAAGCAAGCATATCCCATGTCCCCTCGCGATGTCCCGTCGGGTCGAGAGACCAGCCGTGATTAGCAGCATGGGTAGTCACTTGATGCTGCTTTCCACCAGCAGGGCTGCCAAAGCCTCCGTATCTCATCGCCTCGCTCAGCATCATCCCGAAGCCGCCAAGCTGAGAATACATGCTGGCACTCTTCCGCACAGTATCTCGGCAAGAATATGATCTAATAGCGCGCATCCAATATGTAAGCCCCTTCTCCTCTCGTCTTTCTGGGGGATTGATTGGACTGCCGGCGTCGAATCCCCACTCCATCACGATGCTTGTCCGCAGTACAAGATGCAAACAGGCTCTGCCTCTATTGGCCCCCGTCAACACTATTGCTAGGTCTACCTATTGCTACCGCCGTTGCTGCCGCTACTGCCCGCTCTAGAATGATGCCGGGACTAGCATTCACCGATGATGTCGCTGTAATTAGCATGTTTCCACTAATTAGCATCATGTACTCTATGCAAGTTTGCTTCAGCATTCCCTGCGGGAACCGACAGGACCCCCGAGCCGACTTCCTCGTACTGTAGCAGAGCCTTGTAGGAGTACTGTACTTGTAGCATCGCCGGAGATCTGGTCCTAAGCCGAATGTCCAAGCAAGGAAGTTGAAGCTCATGCCGCGCCTTCTTCCAGCCCCCAAACAAATCCCAGCATGCCCGGGTCCACAAGAGTACGATCACAAGCACAGGTAATCAGTACTCTAATAACTGGTGGAGGCATCTTTCAAGACATGCAGCATTAGCCGTAACCTTCTGCACAGAGGGACAGATAAAGTTGAGGAAAGCAAACACTAGGGGCCACGTAGGGTCCAGGTGTAATAATGAGAACAGGGGAGCACATTATGCAATTCTGATACAAGGACATGATAACAACATGCAGAAGAATTATGAACTGTCAGGTGTCTCCAAGAAGCCGGGTACATGTACATTGCACACACTCCATGTAACCAATCTCTGTATCACCCTTCTCGGGGCCTCTTCACAGCAAATCATTTCAGCTCGCAGGGCTCTGTACCGCGTGTAGGCGCCACATCTTTGTGCTTCTCGACCACAGGCGTAATCCCCAGTCTTCAGCGGCACGTTGCCCAAACGGTGATGTGCAAGTGTCTCATTTGTAGGACACGACAGAAACTGGAGTGATGTGAAACCGGGTTGCTCAAAAAGACGCAAAATGCTGCAAGTAGTAAATGAAATGCATGCATCACAACAGAGGAGTGGCTATAGAGGAACATGGAGAGAGTTGTTTGTTTTGCGAATTACGGGTAAGCAAATGCCGCTCCGAGAGCACCTGATGGATCGATCGATTGTCGTCAGACTTCGGAGCACGAGAGACGTTCTGTTACGATAATCTCCAGCTTCCTGTTTGGAGCATGACAGCTGCGGGCCGTGGATTGGGCGGACATGGTACTCGTATCTAGCGGAATTATGAAGCGCCTCACAGTAATAACTTCTTTTGTTGTCTGTTTTAGTTTTACCAGTGACGCCCATCATAATCGTGAGCCATCTGCCCTAGTATGATGGGTGCGTGGCTACACCGCATTAGTCCCGTAGATGTGTGTCTGTGTAAGTGTGTGTGTAATGTGATGGTGCCGTGTCAGTCCAGTCTAGATTCTTTATCCTACCCTGCACTGTAGATTCTATTTTCGTCGTGATACAACGTGTCTGCAACTTCAAAGGCCTCATGCAGAGCAAGGACAAAAGAGAAGAGAATACGAGACATGTTGCTGTGTGGAACGAGCCTTGCCTTGTGCCTCAAAAGACAGCAGCCTGTTGCACTGCATGTTGAAAACTCCGTTGTAAAGAGTCAGTAGTAACTGCTCGCTCTCTTATATTGGTCAATACTTGCTCTCGGATTGCCCGTTCTGTGCCCTATCCCTGCGTAGTTTTCCATTACTCATATTGATGGTGAATTCACTGTCGATTTATACGTCTTGTAGCATTGCCAAGTTCACTGCGTGGATAATGGAGATACTTTACACCCATGTCTAGGATCCAGCTCGCGGTGTAACACTCCCACTTGCTAATGCCCTCTCTTCCGCCCTTTCTTTTCTTATTTTTCGTCTGTTTGTTTTTATATCCCGATCCCTGACACTCTATTCTATTGCAAACTCGCTTCCGTGCAGCTTTGCCAATCGGACCCAGCTTGTTCCGCCGGCTGCCTTGAGACATGAGTCGCATCGTCGTACTCGTACAGATGAGGGGTTACGGGGTTATAATAACGGCATCGCCTATTTTGTGGAATCGGAGCTTAATTGCCGGGGCTTGAGGAGATCGAGATGTGTGTTTACGGGCAGTAGTCTTGCGGCTTGTGTAGGCAAATGAGATTTGCTGCTTCAGGCGTTGCTTCAATAAAGACATGATCCATATATGGGCTCTCCTGGCTTCCAAGTGCTCTCCGTACTGTAGATATTTCTTAATCATGAATATTGCACCTTCTCATCTCTTGACTGATTGTAGTAAATTGTGGGGGGGCAATCATGAGGATCCATGACCCAATATTCCAAGCAGCACGGTAGTTCTACCTCAAGGCTACGGTTGTATTCATGCAGAGACTGATGATGCATAAGAGAATCTCATTAGAAACAAAACGAGGTCTAGAACCCAAACTTGTTCTCTGAAGCGGGAAATGCGCATTTACTGCGGAGAATCTTGCCCTGGCCTTGATCTTTGCCGAGCCATTCGGATGCCACCCGGAATGCTACCCGTATCCTTGATATCGTGGTGGCGAATGCGTGCAGATCACCTCGTCTACAGAATGCTACACGTGGGTGAATGTACGCGGGTAACTTCTCTTGTTGATATGACAAGCATCAATCGCAGGCTTCGCTCTGTATTTGCCTATCCCAGTCCATTTCCCCCCTTCGTGGCAACGTCGTATTCCTCGCCAAGCACAGGCGTCCAGCTTTCGTTCGCCACAAAATCTGCACGCTCAAGACCCCATCCTGTTCTCCATCCAAGCGACGGCGCCTGTATGAGGGAAGTGGTCACCCCGTAATAAATTTCCGGCGTGGGGTTATCATGGAAACTTGCTTGAAGAGGGGGTACCGTCGCAGCGCCTCCAAAACAAGGCGCTGGAAAACAGAGAATGAAGAAAGAAAAAAGAATGATGTTGTAATCAAAGAGGCGTCAAGACAGGTTTGCCCTTGCCAGGCCTATGTAGTGGGCGCTGTGCCGGCCGGCCACCGGCTTTCGCAAGGCTCGCCAAGGCCTGGACGTCGAGGCCAGGAGTCGCGTCTTCGAAAGAAGTGTGCTCGATCCGGAAGCCCTCGCCCTCTCTGAAGACGGCCCCAAATAACTCGTTAATGGATGTGGTCAGGCTATCGAGCGCCTGGATTCTGCTAATGTCGGCAGCAGATGTTATCTCTAGAGTGCCTGCCTGCTGGTTGACTGATCCCTTGATCTTGCCATCAATAATGAGAAAGCTAAGGATATCTTGCACCTCGGGCTCTGATATTCGCAGCTGATTGGCAATCCATGACAGCTTCATGCGTGTGTAAGGCGCAATGAGTTTTAAAACTCCCTTGGTCCGTATGTTTCGCGTGACCTCATCGATGTTCTCTGCGATGAACGGATCTGCTAGAATGTCCTGGTTGTTTCGCAGCGCTTTTTCGTAGGCATGAACATCGTCCCGCTGGTATGCATCGACAAGCTCCGTCATGGCAGAGATGCGAGGATCAGTCTTGTAGGGCTTTGTCTCTTGCGAGTCAAACGGGTTGATGTTTGACTTCATCAGCATGGTGGTGAGAAGCAGATACTTGAGAACTTGGATCCGCTGTAGCGATCCTGCCTCGTCGTAGTTGCGGAACGATTCAAAAAAGTCACTCTGCGCCTCCTTCCAGTTCTCCTCGCTCATGTGCATTTTGCCGCCGCATTCACGGATGATACCCATGATGCGGGGATGCGGCACGGCAGACTTGACCTTGAGCGCACGATTGTAGAGCGTCTTGAGCTGCTTGTTGTTTCTCGTCTCCGCCAACATCTGAATCTCCAAGGCGTAAATCTCCAGCGAATAAGTTCCCTTGCCTGGATCATCGCTGCCATCGGGGCGCTGGCAGGCCTTGTGAAGCTCTCTAAGCTTCTTGGATACTGCCGAGTACTCTTTGCGGTCCAGCAGGAGTTTGGCCAGCTTGATGTTCGTCTTCAGCCACAGCCGCTCGTTATTCGTGCTCTGGAAGCTCTGAAGCGTGAGGGAGTAGAATTTCTCGATGCTCTTCACGGCTGCTGACTCGTCGGCGCCTTTTTCGATGTAGTCGAGCATGTTGTTGATTGACTTTTCCGAGTAGTTTCTCGTAACGGCCGATTTGACGTATGTGAGCAGCTCGGCGAAGTGTTCGGCCGCCTGGAGTTGGTAGTTGTCAGTAACCTGGTGTCAACGTCGGCGAGCTCAGCTTCTCACTTGGTCGTACTGCCCCAGCTTGAATTCCAGCTTGATGGCCTGCTTCAGGCCCTTGAATCCCCATTCGCCCTTGTCCGGCTCGAGGGGCGGTATCCCGAGAAACTCCGCAATGGCATCTTGGGGGTCGCTGAGCTTCAGCTGCTTGGCGTTGTAGTATTTGTTCTCGATGCCGACATCGCCAGCCTCCTGTTCGTCGTCGTCTTCCTCGTACTCGAAGTCATATCTGCAAGCATCGCATCAGCACAGGCCGTGAGCGCCTCGGTTTCCAGGAATAGCACCAACTGTTCCTCATCAGACTCTTGCATGAAATCCTCGTCGTCAGACATTGCGCCGATTCTATGTTGTAATCGAAGAGTGGCAAGACAGATGAAAAGCTTCTTCTGAGCAAAAAGGTTATCATAGAGATTCTGCTGGGAGTGATGACGGTATGTTCAATTGTTTGTCGTGAGCTGCTGTATCTTGGATCGAAGCTTCAGTGGAGTCGCTCTGTCTTAGGTGACAACTTCGCGGGGCGCTGGGGCTTATCGATAGGAGCTGCACCAGGAAATTCCGCTCCGATTAGCGCCAGAACTCGCTGAGCACTTACACCATTCATGATTCGGTATCATTGGAGAATTAATCAGACTTTGATCTGAATCAACTTGTATTTAATTAACAATTCGTTATATCAACAAATGAAATATACGTCAAGTATGTTACGCTATGAATGCAGCCACCAACGCCGTCTGTATAGCCCCTCCGTCATATCTGGGCTCTCATCTTGAATTTTGCGTCCCGCGCGGCTCCTCTTTCAAAATTGATGCTCTAGCAATTCTATTACTTATTATCCTACACCCACACTCTGAAAAAGATGCCTTCTAAACTCTAACGAAAGCGAGTGCCGTCATGACTGCGATTCCCAGCAAAGTGGTCGCCAAATAGGGCAGCCCCATCCACACGCCGCCCAGCTCCATGCCACGACTCAGCAGCCATCCCATGACGGGAGCGCCCAAAAAGCCCACGAGCGTCTCCATGGTGGACATTGTCGTGTTGAGCGTGGCCACCGTATGAGGCTCCACGACGGCATTGAGCAGCGCTCGGCACAGGGAACTGACGCCCACGCCAATGTTGGTGATGACCATGGCGCAGACAAACAGCCACGGCACGCCCGCCAGGGCAGTGAAGAGGCTGCCGGCGATGAAGATGACGATGGAGGCGCGAGCCAGGAATAGATCTCGCTTGATGGAGTTGAAGTGGAAGCGTTTGGTCAAAACAGCCGACGAGAGCGGCAGCAGCACCAGCAAGGTGAAGACTCCGGCCAGACTGCTGACCGTGTTGACGTAGGTTGCCTATAGGAAATCATGTCAGTGCTTGGACGCGGTATACAAGAAAGGGGTCTCTTCTCCTTACAGTTGACCACTCCCAGTTGAAGCGGCGAGTCATGTACTGCAAAATGTCCAACACAAACGTCAACTTGATGAGATAGAATGGGCCATAGGCAAGCAGCAGCAGGACGACCGTCTTGGACGTGAAGATGAACCGCCATACGTGAGACACATCGTTCTTGACCGAAAACCACGCGCGCTGCGCCAGTTCTCTCGCACTGGGGAATTGCTTCGATGGCAGCTGTGACTCTTGCTGAGCGGCAGACGAGTAATCTTGGCCACGGCGCTTGTTATCCACCGCCTGGCGAAACTTGAGCGTCTCTGGGATGAGAGCAGACGACAGCATGCCCATGGTGAGCACCGTGTTCCCGATCCACATCGCAAGCCAGGGGTCAATGCTGAGGAGGAACGCAGCGAGAGGGTTGACGGCAATGGAGATGAGAAGATTCATGGCGTAGATCAAATAAAACGTGCCGGTTCTCTCGGACACGGGAACGACGTCGGCAACGACAGTCGAAATCATGGCGACGACCATTTGGCTGCCGCCGCCAATCAAGAGGAAGATGCTGCCGTACAAGATGCTCCAGATGGGGAAAGTATCGGGAAAGAAGACTGTGCGAGGCCAAAGTCAGAAAAGGGGGAGAAGAGAGGGAGGGCAATACATACGGACAACGGTTATCCAAACTTGCTCGAGGCAACATCCCAGGAGCGAGAGAAATATGACAAGACGGCGGCCATACTTGTCAGCAACGACTCCAAAGGAAATCTGCACGAAAAGCGCTATTACTCAGTTGTCAGTGATGCAATGTCATGCAACTAGACTCGTTGGCACTTACGAAGCAGCATATCGAGAGACGTGCTCCACGACCGCACCATGGCCAGCGTCTTTTGCACTTCTGTGTCCTTGCACCGGCTATCGTGGAGCTGGGGCATGGCTATCGTATGGTCTGGGTGGTAACGCCGGCAGATGACGTCCTCCATGATCTGCTCCATGGGGGGGTTGAGGATGTACTGGCTGACCTCGACGATGAAGAGGAACAGGACGCACATTGCCACGACGAGGCGGCGGAACGCCTTGGAGGGCGCAATGTCGGCTGGCAGGTCGTTGTTTTGCAAGTCGTTGCTTTGCAGCAGCGATGTTGTCTCGTCGGCTTCGGCTTCATCGTCACCGATACGGTGGTGGTGGAAGTATCCATCTCCGTTGGCCTCGATATCAGAGCCCAGGCCGGAAGACTCGGCGTCTGCTGCGGCGCCGTACCGTGTCATGATGGGACCGGTTTCGAGTTTTTGATATTTTGTGTATTTGTTATTAGAATGCCTTGGATATGGCACAAAAAAGAAGATTGAAGTGAAATGCTGCAAAAGACTGTATTATAGGAGAGCCCATCAGAGCAAAGTATTGGTAAGGGAGCGCATAGGGGGGAGATAGACGGCGGATCATCTACATGACGACACGATATGCAAGACACGTCGATGGCACACGAAGCATAGATAGTAAAGACGGCAAATATCGACCGAAACGTCTAGTCCAAGGGCAGAAGCAATAAAGTTAGCCGGAGGCGTGAAGCCTTTATCAAAGCTTCAGGTTCCCGGCGGCCATGATTGGCGTGCCCTGGGAACTTTTTTCAGTGGGGTACAGCATCCGGAACGCGTATGCCGCCAATTTGGACTGGAGTTTGGAGCAAGATAATGGCCATGTCAGCAACTACGCAATATTCCCTGCTTTGTCGTAATTGCGTTGAAGCTATTGGGGTTTACTAGGTACCAGGGGTGGTGAATGAGACTCGTCTGGAATGGCCAGAATGCTCTGTCGCGCCCTTGCCACAAACATCGAGAGTTGAGGCAATCTGGGGTAAATCACCAGCTTTGGTAAAGGTAAATGGTTATCGTGGGAATGAGGCGTTTAAGCGGCGCAAGCTCAAAAGAGAAGAGCAAACGCAATTCATTAGTGCGCCCGATGCTGACGGCTTTCCACGTCAACGATGCATGGACTGCTATTAGCAGCTGGTTGTATAAGACCCAAGCAAGTACCAGCATTTTGCCTTGTTAGGAATTGTTCGGATGATGGAATGATGTTTAAAATGCCGAGATAAGATCAAATTGTCTAGGCCATGAATGGAGACCAAAGCATCGAGGCCTTTATCGCGAATCCTGTGTCTTGCTTTCACAACATTGAACTGCCGAAATGTTGGCAGCTGGGCATTCAAATTACTGCTAGTGACGCTAGCGGGTACCTGGCCCGCTAGCTGCTTCAGTTCGATTCACTAGCTTTGATTCTACAGCGCCAGTTACAGGGGCTCGACGCTGGTGGCTCCCCGCCATTGAACCCCGCCAGCCGCCATCGGACCTCTAGCCGCAATTCTGCAACCTGCATGGCCATCGTCATTGTTTCTGCTTCATCGCAAATCGCAGCCACAGTCGCGTCACCATGTCCTTTGCTAGTGCAAAAGTGCTTTCCACAACGCCATTGGTAGGTGCTGACCGCAACTATGAATCAAGCAACTGTCCCACGCTTCTTGCTGACCTCGATTCTCTCTCCAGTCCAACGACGAGTCGCGATGGATCTCCCTGAATAAGTACGATGCGAATGCGCCCTCACTCTCCCCGTTCGTCTGCCTGATACTCTGCGCATAGAATCACCTACCAGGACCCCAAAGGCATCGAGCGCGTCTGGGAAACGGCCGAGCGACGCACCCGCCCCGCCGGCGCCGACATCGACGGCGTGGGCATCGTCGCCATCCTCGACAAGCCCGCGGGCAAGGAGATTATCCTGCAGAAGCAGTACCGCCCGCCCGTCGACAAGGTCGTCATCGAGGTCCCCGCCGGCCTGATTGACGCGGGCGAGACGGCCGAGCAGGCCGCCGTGCGCGAGCTCAAGGAGGAGACGGGCTACGTGGGCGTGGTGACTGAGACAACTCCCATCATGTATAACGACCCTGGGTTTTGCAACACGAATCTGCGCATGGTGCACGTCACGATCGACATGGCGCTGCCGGAGAATCAGGATCTGAAGCCGGAGCTGGAGGAGAATGAGTTTATCGAGGTCTTTACCGTGCCGTTGGCCAACTTGTGGGAGGAATGCAAGAAGCTGGAGGCAGAGGGCTATGCCATCGATGCGCGGGTGGGCACATTCGCCGAGGGCATCCTGCTGGCGCAGAGATTGAAGCTATAGGTTCATCAAGATGAAGGTGGATATGAAGGATTTACTACTATAGAGCCGTCATTTCTGATTCCATCTCGTTGGAGGAAAATGGGTTTGGGAGGAACAACAGCATCATCAGCATTAGCATCATACGCATCTATCAGGGGCTCTTCAGCTACCTATAACTTGTTTTCTTGGCGCAGGCCCTGCCAAAGCGCCAACGCGGCCAGGGCCTTTGCATCGCGAGCGCCTTCTTTCCATAAATCCTTCATTGGCACCACTTTGAGCGTAATCTTCTCCCCAGAGCCTCGCTCTCCTGTGAGGCGGCCCTCCCACTCGCTCAGCTGGTCTCTAGGAATGCGTCGCTCAGCGCTGTAGATGGTCATGTGCTCGTCGCAGCCACCAGCGCTGGGGAACATGGCAGCAGGGAGATTCTCCTTTTCGTACATGGCGTCCGTATTCCGCTCTTCTCTCGACGCCTCTGCGAGCTCGCTCAGGCACGTCAGCTCGTCTTCGCGGATCGTGATGCCCAGCTCCTCCTCAATCTCCTTTGCCGCCACGCCCTTGAAGTTTCCGGAGCCGTCCACCATTCCCGCCGGCAGCTCCACGAAGGTCAGGCTTCCGGCGGGCGTGCGCGGCTGGACCGTCAAGACGACGTAGCGCTCGTCCGAGTCCGGCGGCACGTCGTCTGGGATGAGCATCACCAGCATGGCGACGCTGGGGCCGCGCAGGAGACATCCTGACGGCAGCGTCTCTCCTGCAGAATTGGAGATTTGCGCGGTGAGCTTCATGAAGCCGATGCGGTTGCCCCAGAAGTCGCAGGATTGGATGGTGACATTGCGGAGGACGTAGGGGTCGGAGTGGAATGGGTGAGAGGCGTGGCTTTGCAGTGCGAGAGACTTGGTCAGAGTATCGATCCAAGACTATGAATTTGGCTTGTTAAAATTACTAAATGTTGTATTTCATGGCGGATTGGCTCACATTCAAGGGCTTAAAGGACTCGAGGTGCGACTCTGCGTTTTCGAGCGAGTCCGGCGTGGACACGGAAATGCCGCGGTAAGTCAACATGGTGCGAAGATGGCGGCGAGCAGAGATGGCGGAGGCAAGTTTGCGCCTCGGTCGGAGAAGCATGCTGTGATATTTGAGGTGCTGGTGTATTCGTTAGTGAGATGGCCGCCTACATGAAAGAGGCTGTGAAAATCAGCCTTGTGGTTGATGTGACGTCAACGCCGTTGAAGCTTGTGATGTGGGCACGACGCAATCGAGTCAAGAATGAAATCAAGCCGGAGATGGCATTGGTCTGGATTGACATTGTCTTGGAATCATGGCTTCACTTCAATTTGTCTTTGTCGCATCCTCCCGTCCAGTGGCACATGTAATATTCTCATCTTAATGATTGCTGTCAAGTAACTTCAACATGCTCTCAGCCTGCCAGAACGCCTTGGACCAAATAAACACCAAAACCCAAAATCCAGATTCAACCCCGTCTACACCGCCCAGTACACGTCAATCCGCACAGACTCAATCTTGTTCGCCCACCCGCCAAACCTCGCCCTGCCCCAGACCGTCACCACGTCGCCCACCTGCAGCTCCCGCACAAACTTCCCGTCGCCCGTCTCACGCCCTCTGCCCTTTGCCACGAGGGCCTGGCCGCCTTCTGAGTCGGGTGCGGTGTCGTCTAGATAGGACCACGTGATGGAATTGTCTTGCCATTTCCCAAGGGCTGTCTTGTTGCGTTGAATCTCCCATTCGGGTGAATGCAGCAGCTTGTGAGCGTAGTTGTAGCCGACTGGGTCAGATGAGGTCTGCTGAAGTTCAGGGTAAAGTGGCCGAAGCGAGTTGACAGAGGGTAACGATCCATCTTCTAAGAAGCAGTTAGCACCCATCATGAGCCCTGTCTACCTAGGGATAAGATGGATGAGATGGAGAAACTCACCAGCACCAGATGCGTCAAACTTCTCCAATCCCGCGTCAAACCACGTCCACGACTTCGAATACGGGTCCTGAGCGTCGTCGGAGCTCGTCACCCATCCTTGGTCCTGGCTCCTGAATGAGAAGACCACCTTTCGCGCGGGGTGCGTGATGCGCGGCACAGGGTACTTTGCCGCCTTTGCGAAGAAGCTGGCGTCGAGACTCTCGCCCAGGGGCCGAGGCGTCGGCAAGGCGGTGGTGTATGGCTGGTCGTTGGCATTCTGTCGAGCTCCGGCATCCACCAGGCCCAGCGGATACGATCGAAGCAAGAAGCGGTCCTCTCTGTCCGGGTTGCCGCCCATGATGTGGATGCTCTCGTGCAGCTGCGTGGTGGAGTGAGCCCAGTACTCGCCAAAGTCGAAGATGGCGTCAATCAGGTCTGGCGGCAGCTTCTTGGAGCGGCACAGCATGGCCCTGACCACGGCAATGTCAATCGGGCTGGGCTCGTAGCGGCGCTCTGCGTGATGCTGCATCGGCTCATCGTCGTCTTCTGCGGTGGTTGCGTTGAGGCCGAGCGCTCTCATGGCGCTCCAGACGACGCCGGGGATATTCACAGACATGGCTATAATTGGGAAAAGTGCTGTTTTCTTTGCGCTTGCAAGAGGGATGAGAATGATAAGTAGGTAGGTAGGAGGGATTGTTTACGATATGCAAGATTAAAAGCAACGTTGTTTATAGGGGCATCGAATCAGAGCCCAACGCGCGTTCTGGTCGGTTGAGGCGTCGTTTCATTCGATTCGCACCACATCATCGCGTGACGTCAGGGCGGCGAATACAGCGAGCCAACAGCGAGTGCAGTGCGCTGTGCACTGATGGCGCAGGCAATCGTACGCTTTTGGGTTTAAGTACATGCACCTAGAGATGCGCTATATCGCTGCCCTCGGGCAAGAAGGATCATGTATATGTACGTGCAACAGCACGTTCATCGACCTTGTTAGAAACGTGAATGAGGAAATAATTTGTCTAGGAATCGACCGAGGTTGCTCATCAATCGAGATGCATGAATCTGAAACAGCTGTACCTAAAAGCAGGATGGAAGCGACTCGCAGTAAAGGTAGCGCATTTCATCTAGCTGGTTGAAAACCCAATTAGCGGTAGGTATAGCAAAAGAACTTGACAAAATCAATCTCAATCACGGATAAAAAATTCCTTCTCTTCTTCTTTTGCGATTGCCTTTTATAGGTAGTTTATACCTATTCTTTGCGGTTCCATCTGTTCTCGGCTGAGTGCCTAACCTGTAATCGACACATTTTCTCTCATTTTCCGCGTAGCTCCATTCAGGTTACGATGATGCTTATATGAAGAGGAATAGGTATATTTTGAATCTTTTTCATCCTCTAAATGAAGAATAGGTATAATCTATTTCTTTTGCATCATCTCAAATTTAAAAATATAGTAAAAACGAGCTTTACAGAAATCCCCTTTTCATTTGCTCAAACACAATGAACAGCCAATCTTCTATTACACAGACTCTGGACTCAATATGATACTCGCTCGTCACAAGGGACCAGAGCAAGAATCCCTACAAAGCAAATGGCTAGTCACAACAACAAGAAGCTCAGCAGTATTATAAAAGTAATATGTTCATATTCACGACCAAGCTAAATTATATGCAACGTGCTGTAGAAAGCCCAAAAACGGCCAGATGTGTAGGTATTTAAAAAGTGGTAAAATAAAAGTTTGTGTCCATAAATGCCATACATCCCTTTCTAGCTTCAACACCTAAAACGCCATCCAAAGGTTGGTATCTGGAGGCAAAAGTTCAAACAACGAAACAAGTCATTGAGACCCTTTTCTTTTTTTCTTGAGAGTAAAAAAAAAAAAGAAAAAGAAGACGCAAAAAAGAGTTCATCCCACGCGCGCTGTTGTATATGGCCCCCATCGCTCTTTGGTTTCAAAAAAAAAATGAAAAATAATGATTAAAATAAAACCAGCCCGCTTCCCTTTCTATCATGAACGTTTATCGGGTGCTCTTTTTTTCTTTCAGACTTCTCCGCCGGGGAGTCCCTGGTATCCTGAGTGGCTCGCGCTGAAAGTCCGGATGGGAGCCGTGCTCGAGGCTCTCTGCGGACCGGGGTGAGACTGAGGAGGAGAACCAGGACTTCCTGGGCCATCGGCGTGAGCACCCTGGTTGAGGAAGGGGGCGGGCGACTGCATAGGCGACTCGATGTTGACGGCGGTCCAACCTTTGCTGTCAAGAGGGCTGACGTTTGCGGGGGGCGCATCAGCCGCGACGACGCCTTCTTTCCTCATACTGCGAGAATCGTAGTCAGTATATGCGTCCGGGTCAACGCCTTCGCGTTTCAGCTTGTCGAGTTCCATACGGTCCATCTTTTCCATTTCTGTCTGCAGGCGGGCCTCGCGGGCGCCGGACTTGCGCTGCTTGATGCAGTAGAAGAGCAGGGCTCCGATCAGGACGGCGCCGACGACGCCGGCCGCCGCGTACACGGCGATTCTGGCTCCGGCGGGCAGATTGTTCCACTTGTCAGCCGTAGACAGCTTGGGGGCTTGGTGGAGGGCCTCGTAGAAGGTGGAGTTTTTGTCCGTGCTGGTCATGGCCTGTTAGTAACAGGAAAATGGAGATTCAGTACAGCAATGATGCAACTTACCCAGTGACCTTGATGCTTTCGTAGCTACCAGTCATGTCTCCGTAGGTGTACTCGCTGCCACCGCCGTAGTCGGTGATGCGAGCACTCTTGACATACATGGTGTAGGGGCCCTTGGAGTAGTCGGTGTTGCCACCAGCCCACTCACGAGTACCGTTGGGCATTCTCGGGTCACCACCAGCCCAGATGCCGAGGGACAGCCTCATGGGAGTCTGGGGGTAGTTTCGGGTCTTGTTGGCCTGGTCAGGGGTGAGGGTACGGACGAGGGCGCCGTCAATGTACCACTGGAGCGCATCCTTGGTCCAGACAGTGGTGTAGTTGATGAAGTTCTCCTGGTTGTTGGCGGTGGTGTACAGACCAGCGTTGTGGAAATCCTCGAGACCCTTGCCAAAGTAGTTTGTCGAGGCCATGGTGTTGTTGACGCCCAGAAACTCCAGGTCGACCTCGTCGAGATCGTCACTCAGCCACATGGAGGAGCTGACAATGCCGACGCCGGGGGCGACCTTGAGGAAGAGCTCAACACGGCCAAAGAAGAAGTAGAAGAGCGTGCGGATGGTGGGCGAGTCACCCTGCTTGTTGATGGTGAAGCCGGCGCCGTTTTCGTTGTCGTAGGTGACGGATCCAGCAGTCGTCTCCCACAACTCATACGACGGCGTGGTGTTGAAGTTGAAGGTGTAGTCGGTGTTGAAGCCGGGGTCGGCAGGGCATGTCGAGTTCAACGGGTTGCACGATGTGGAAACCTGGGCTGAGACGAGGCCCAGCAGAGGGGCGGCGGCCAGAAGACCGCTCAAGTACCGCATTTTGGAGAGAGAAGAGGATCTAACGGTATATATAGGCGTATATATAAACACGGTTGGGTATAAAAGATTGAGGTCGGTCGATGCGCGAGAACAATACAATCAACGGCAGATTAATTGCAAGTATCAACTTAGGGAGTGTGGTATCTCCGGCCCTGCAGAGAAGCGAATTGGGGGATATATCTCGAAAGAGCGTGTAAGTGATTTCTTTGTTGTTTCAGAAAGAGGCAGCCAGGCAGACTGGGGCCAAACAAAGAGGTCACTGGAGAGATTGAAGCGGCGAAGTTGCGCCAAAGCCAAGTCAGGACGACAATGAAAGGACGAGACGAGTCTCAACAGCGAGCAACAGCGACTGCGAGGCCCCTGAAGCACGACGGCGGATGTCTCTATTTGCAGAGGTTCAAGGAAGGACTGAGGTGAAGGAGAGGTGAAGAAGAAGAAGAGAAGGACGAGCAGAGTCAAGTCAAGTAAAAGAGATTAGGGGCTCGGGCTTGATTTGATGCATTTTGCACTGAGACGGGGAAGAAGCGCCGAGGGGTCCGCACAATCAGTGTAAGGGGTACCGCGCTATGCTGGGCCGGGGGGCGGCGCGGGCGGTACCTGGTACCTGAGCGCGGCGGGTCGCCAGCGAGGGGCCGCCTGGGGAGTGTCTTGGCTGGTAATTTCAGCGTCCAGGAATAGCCAGCAGCCCCCTGGAGGGAAAGGTGGGATAGACTGCATGGACCTAGAAGGTGAAGAGAAGATGAAAGAAAAAAAAATGGAATTATTGGGGAGCCCCGGGATGCCGTGCAGCTGGAATCAGTGGCGTTGTGATGGCACTTGAAACAGAGGAAACGCATCACAGCGCATATACGGCGGCTGGCGGCATCACACAGCCAAATCGCCGTTTCTGTCCCCAAAAGCACCAGCACCAGCACCTCTAAATCCTCCGGCTATGCACGGCGGCAGCGCCATGACACGCCTTGGCACTCTGTAACGATAATTGCCTGCCTGTGCAGATGCAGGGGCCGCCCATTTCGTTGCTGCAACAGACTGCGAGCGCCGGCAGGCCAATGAGAGGCGCTGCGCAGACGACAAAGGGAAAAGGGACGTGGACTGGTGCTGGAAAAATGCGCCAGGGACCGATCCGGCACAGCGCGCCGAGGCTGCTAGGCCCGCCTGGGAATAAGCCGCTGGGGCCCTGATTTCCCCTGAAAGATGGAGACGGCCGTGCGCGGTACCGAGTACCTGCGGCAGTGCTGACAGCGCGGCGGGGCGGCCGGGTACAGGGTACGCGACGAACTCGCAGCGCGCGAGCTGTAATTGGTTTCTTCAGTTGTTTCTGTCTCGTCGCCTCGAGGTCCGGGATCTTAATTTGGTGCCCCCAATCTCCCAGCGCCAGGTATCGAGTACATGAATTGCCGGCTCAATGCCTAATTCAATAGGTAGGTGGCTAAAGTGCGCGGAGGCCAGTTGTGGGCTTCACCATCAAAAGCCGTCGACGGGCACCAGTCAATCACTCGAGTACGGGGGATCCACGATGTAAGCCTCATCCAGTCTTGTGCTGCTCGTCGAAACAAGGACCTGCAAGGCCAAGCAATAGTCGAGTCGGACAAAACCCACCCATTAAGCCGGAATAGAAAGGTCTTTGCTGCCCATGATGCCGAGTTTGCGAATAGCAGCAGCCTGCAAGCAGTGCCTACTGCCGGTTATCCATCCGTAATCAAACCAGGGCCGGTCTTTTGGGCACTGCGCCTCCGCACAAAACCCGCTCGCTGTCTTGACCCAACTGGGCGGAGTTCATGTTGTCGACGGTTGTGACGGCAGCGAGAGAGTGAGCGTGAGTAGCATTTGCACATCCCCTGAAACGAGGCATTCCCATTTATAGGAACGGAGTAGTCCGTGGTGTAGAAGAGAGTCGTGGTGTAGCTACATGGCCTCTAATTGAATACGAGGACAGCTCCCGCTGTCATTGGACGAATGCGCGCGACATAGTCCGGGTACAGAAGCCGAGTCGGCAGTTGGAAGAATAAGACGAAAATCAATTACTACTAGTAGTAGCATTAAAGATTGGATTGAAGCAATTGATTGCTCTTTCCAGCATCAATCACATGATGTTAGCCAAGCGACAACTTCGCCAACAGGCGGCCGCAGCGTAATCGAAATTGTCGCGGAGGAGCTGCCGGCAATACACCGGCTAAACACCGCCAAGCCCCGGCATCATCAAACTTTCGTCCAGATGCCCGAGATTTCAATGTCACCGACCCTCGTCAATTGATTGATTCGCACCGCCTTCCACCATGTCCATGTTCCGGGCCAAGAAGCTCGACCTGGGCTGCTTCGTCAAGGCCCGCACCATTCGCGACCACACCAAGCGAAAGGTCTTTGAGGAGCATGAGACGGAGAGGTAAGGCCTCGTTTTCTCTACTCCATCTCTCGCCAAATTGCCAGCCAAAATTGCGCAGATTAAGCGGCGGCAAATGGGCGAACCCTTGGTCGGAGAACCGAGCCGTGCTAATCTCTGCCTCTTCTGCTATTTTTAGGCAAGCTCTTCGATACATGATCCGCAACACCACGCTGCCGCCCCGAGTTCGAGCCACGGCCCAGCTGCAGCTCTCCCAGATGCACGCCTATACCCGGCCCACGCAGATTCGCAACCGTTGTATAATGGGTGGACAGGGGCGAGGTGTGCTGAGGGCGTTTAAGATGACAAGAGTGCGTGCATCGGCCAACGAGATTGATGCTCCCATGAGAAGAAGCTGAGCTAACGTTAAATCACCCTACAGTTCAATTTCCGAATGGAGGCGATGGCAGGAAATCTTCCTGGCGTCAAGAGAGCCAGCTGGTAGATGTGGGCTTTACGATTCAATGACGTTTATATATTCCGACTCAACTGTATAAAATCTTGTGTATGATATTTGCGTGCGACTCTATCATGGGTCTCGGTTAGACAAAACTCTGAGCGAGGGCGGCCAAAGGAGAAAGGAAAGATTTAATAAAAAAAAAACTGTTAAATAGAACATCGGTATTCCGTCATCTTGGTGTCCTGGAGATTCAAGATGTCGCTTGACCCTTGGAGTGAATTTATATCTGCTATGCCAGATGGGTGGTTGCTTGCGGATAGCAAACTACTCACTACCAAGGCCATATGCTCCCATCAATCTCGATTCCTGGCGCGCTACGATAACGAACATCATTTTGAAATCATCAACGACATTCAATCGCATAGCATTTTCTATACCATATCTATTATCCCTTAGACAGTTGCAAAGACTTGACCTTGGCATTTCGAACTTCAGCTGCGGCCCTACCCTGCACTACGCCACAATTCAGCTTTTGAACGTAGCCGCAAAAAGATGTGGCGTTCGCCACTTGATTCAAACTTTGGTCACCGTAGTGGTTACTGTGCCTACCGCACCTTTGCAACACCTTTCAACTTGCGCTTTGCCAGCAATCTACACTTGTCTTTGGTTACTCTTCATCAGCTCTGATTTACCATCCAGCTTTCCAGCGACGCGCAGACTCGCGATCGATCACACAGCGGCAACTCATCAAACTCGTCAATCAATTTCACCACAGTCAAACGGCCACATCATCCACATAACGAGTCGCAACCATGGGTGGCGGAGATTTGAACTTGAAGAAATCTTTCCATCCCGGCCTGCGGCGAAATCAGCAAGCCGTCTACGATGAGGAACAAAAAGCTCTCGCCGAGCGCAAACGCACCCAGCAGCGCATCAACGAGATCAAGGAGGAGCGCGCCAAAGAAGACCTCCAAAGGCAACTTGAGGCGGCCGGAGGCAAGAAGAGGATAGACCGCGTCGACTGGATGTACCAGGGCCCTACGGATGGCCAGGCCGGCACCACTGAAGAGACAGAGGCGTATCTGCTGGGAAAGAGGCGCATCGACAACCTCATCAAGGGCAACGACAACAAGAAGCTCGAAAAGGCCGCGGGACAGGAGAGCTTCATTGCGCTGCAAAATGCCAACAGCGCGCGCGACACGGCAGCCAAGATCCGCGATGATCCTCTGCTGGCCATCAAGCGCCAGGAACAAGCCGCATACGAGGCAATGATGAACGACCCGATCAGACGCCGCCAGCTGCTCTCATCGATGGGGGTTGACGATGGCAAGAAGAAGCGCAGAGATGGAGATCGAAACGGAGATGACAGGCATGGGAGGAAACATCGCAGGCATCGAAGCAGAGATCGTGACGGCGAGCGACACTCGCGGCATCGCCGGCGCTCATATTCTAGGTCCCGCAGCCCGCGACGGCGGGATTATTCAGGAGACGGAGAGCACACATCAAGTCGTCGGAGGGATGATTCTCAGGAGCGTGAGAGCAGAAGCCATCGGCATGATTCATATCGGAGCCGCGATGACAGCCGCGATCGTCGCCATCGAAACTCAGACTCCAACGGTAGGGGAGACCGCCCTCGGAGGCGCTCCCCAGCATACCCTCGCGCTCACAAAGAGCGTGATGATGCCGGGGAAGACAGTCGGAGAGCACAGGAGAAAGCTCGGAAACTGGCTGCCATGCAGTCGGCTGCGTCCGAGCTTGACGATGATCGAGAGAAGCGTCTGGCGGCTCTGGAAAGTCAAGAACGTGCTGCTCGAGAGGCTGACGACAAGGCTCGGGAGCGAGGAGGAGATCGCGGCTTTACCAACGGGCTGCATCGAAAAGCATTGAATATGAATACTCGGCACGGACGGTGAGGCAGACTACATGTAATAATATACCATGATGATTATGCGTTTGTTTCCACGAATAAAAGAAGATTGATTGATGGCGGGCTCCTCTTGGCGTTCCTGGGATACTGAATCGTGGCATTGGGGCATGGTAACGGCAGCATTTTTACGATAATAGATATCTGACGTTAATTGGCAACATGTATATTCATATGATTGACTGTACTAGTATATGACTAGTTGACCCTATTCTCCAATAACCTCCCAGTAGCTGGCCCTGAGCTCGGCTACGACAGCCATCATAGGCTTGGCTCAGATATTCTTGAATTAACAGCCAAGGCGCGTCAAGGTAAACTGCTGGTTCACGCCACCGTGGAAGGGATAGTTGATGATGGCCGTCAAATCCGCCTGGTTGCTGCCAGTCACATCCCACGTCTTGCTGGAAGACGCCACGCTGCGAATGCTGTGCAAAAGTGTCAGATATACTGCCTCAAGGTACGTGTACAGGGGAATGACTTACTACCAAGTGTCGGCGCCGGCATTGGCCCTGACAATCTTCCAGCGAGCAGCTGCGTTGCCCTTGGGGTCGGTTCTGGCGGCTTTGATTGTAGCATCGTTTCCGCCTGCGGTTGGAGAAGTTAGTGAATGCAGAGATGATTTCCGATATCAAGCCTTACTCGGAGCAGCGGCATAGGTGCTAGTAGCAACATTCTGGATGCTAAACTCGTCGTTGTTGATGTGTGTAAAGCGCCATTGCTGGTTGGGGCCGCCGTGGTATGTGCTGTAGAGCATCTCTACGTTAGCCATGTTCTCTTATATACAAAGGATAAGAGAGGTGGATGTAGGACATACTATCCGATGAGACGGCCGGTAGGGTTGGAGGCTTCGAGGTCAACAGGCTTGCGCTGGGACAAGGCGCTGCGGATGATGTAGGTTCCCTCAAAGACGGACATTTTTATGGAGGTTTTTGGTAGCCAGTGAAGGAGACTGAAAGGCTTTTGCTTGGTGATGAGGTTGGAATTGCTGAGGTGATGATGAGGATGGTCGTTTTCTGAGAAGAGCATCCTCTCGCTTTATATCTTTTCAGCATCGTCTTTTGACCCCTATTTTCTTCCCTTCTCTTCCCTTATTGTTGCTATTATTATTATTATTACTATGAATATTACTATATTACTTCGTGATGCCTCAAGCTATTTCCATCTCGCCAAGGATTACCCCATCTTTGCAGCTGTCATAGTGTTCCGTGTGAGACATTGCCTCTGCGCTTTCTCTCACCGAATGGCTCAACGATTGGTGTATGACCGCCTCCGATATTTACCCCATTCTCGCCCAGCTGAAAGCTGTATCGAAGCCAAGACAACTTGCTGAGCTTCAAAGTGGTCGAGACCGCCAGCCACCGTAAGCTACATATGTAGGGAGAACAATGGCGTATTCAAGATTGATTGTGATTGGAGATTGCCTTGTTGATGTTATTAATGCCAATTGATCAAGAATAAGCTCTCGATATGTCTCTTTTTTGTTACTATAAGCTGGTGTTGACACGATAACTGGCTTGGCGCAGGAGCTGAGACGCTATCCAAGAGAAACCGACACCCATTTGGACCAATTTCTTTTTCTTTTCCTTTTTTTTCTTCTATCTTTTCTTGAAAACATTAAAATATATGCTGAGCTGATATATATTATAGCGAGACGAGGATTGCAGCTGTTCTCTGAAAGCTAACAACCATGGCGACCAATGCATAGAAATGGCTTTCTCCAAGCACATAGTCCAAGCTAGCCAAGCGAATAGGCGATATCTGATCTTGGCATAATATTTGTTTCAAACGTCCCCTCATATCGAAGACATTACTTACAGCTGGTAAGCCATCGACGGAAGATGAAAACTACAGCTTGAGCATATTCTGCCTTGGCTAGGGCTACTAGTAGGTAGCTGTGATATGTGCAACATGAGACATTGTTACCGAGATTGGTTACACGCGCGTGGCAAATGGGGCCGTGCATTTTCGCAATGCATGAGGCTATAAATCACTAACTGCTTAATGTCCAACTCGAGATGCATGGCTTATTAGGTCTGAGACTGGCTGAGTCAGTCCTCAGAGTATTATGCTTGACCCTGCGTCGAGGCCCCTGCCGATCTTCTCTGGGTGGTATTTAGTAAGTGTTGCTGCTATACCGTCGTTCACGAGTGGTTTGAACGAAGCAAGTAGTTGGCTTCCTGGGAGATGGAGGGATCTGTAAATAATGATTGTATTATATTCCCAAGGTAGGAACAGTAAAATAAGTGTACAAAGTACTGCACCTAGTGAAAGGTAGTGTCAACATTTTTCTTCATAGAAGAATATGCAGTCTTTTCTACTGTTTTTTACTGTCCTCTACAAGAGCTGGCTCAAGATTGAGTATTTGAGAAAACTCTTTGTTCTTGGAAACTCCTTCATCTCTTCCTTTTGCCATGCTCTGGACAGAGCTTTTTGTGTGTCCTTACTTGAATAGATGTAGCTCACTCGCAGTTTGGAGTGCATCAGATGCCATGCACGCAACACCAGCCGCCAGCCTTCCTGCTGATACATTCTTACTGCTTCCGTTTGATGCTTGCCATCAGTGAACAGTCAATCGGTCATATAAGGCGTGCCAGGTGAGAAGAGGCGTAAGCCGATACAATTCCTCACTCATAATGCAACTATTTCGATAGGGGTGGGATTCTGCAGATGGGAAGATTCTTTATAGATGAAGCTGGCCCTGGAACCCGGCACTAAGAAGGTGGCGAATCGAGACGTCAATGGGCTTTATTATCCCAGAGTTGCGGGGTATAAAATAAATGCCATTGCAAAAGGCGTCATCGTTTCCATACCATAGTGGTCTCATGGAAAGAGAATATTCTAGTTGCTAAACCTTGAATTGGGAATACGATGCTGATGCCCTGTTCCTTTACAGATAGAGCTGCCGTTAGGTGGAGTCTCTCCATTCTCCCCAGACCCTTTATTCGTGGACAGTCTATAGGGCGCTGTGGGGTTTGACATGCAGGGCGCAGAGCCAAGGCGTCAATTGATTAGGCCTTGGACCATTGCCGGAACGATCGCTGTGGCGCCATCTCATCTAAATAGCTATAATTACCCGAAGAATTGAAAACCAGAGATTACAAAGTTGAGTTCATCATCTGTGTAGAATTACCGGTTGGTAGTTTAGTAAAACGACTTGGGGTCTTGAGTCGACTGAGGCAGGGTGCGCGAATTGGCCATGGCGGAAACACCATTATCCATAGAGTTGAAGACAACTCCACAGCACATCTCCACCGATACGGTCAATGTCCCAAAGCAAGATTCCGGCCCAACTCCCGCCGAGAGCAATTACAATTCGGATCGAGCAGCCATCTCTGGAGATGATGAGTCCCCTCCGGACGGCACAACCGAGTTTTCGCTGCCGCCTGTTGACAGAGGGAAAGATGCGTGGCTCTTCTTGGCAGCTTGTTTCGTTCTGGAGGCGTTAGTATGGGGTAAGTGACGGATCGGACTGGCTGTGGAGATGCCAAGTGACTGACTTTGACATTTGATTCTGCTAGGCTTTCCATTTGCGTTTGGTGTGTTCCAAGACTATTATCGCACACACGAGCCCTTTGCTGGGTCGTCTAAGATTGCGGTCATTGGAACCACGGCAATGGTAACCTAAATCCTCCATGACAAAACGTACAACAAGCAAGCTAACTCGTCTCTGACATAGGGCATCATGTATCTCGATATTCCCATCATCATGGGCCTCCAGCGCATGTACCCGAAACCGACCCGCCATGCGCCTGCTGTTGGTCTTTTTATCTTATGCCTTGCTCTTGCCATCTCTTCCTTTTCCCAAAACGTCACGCACCTCATCTTGACCCAGGGAGTTCTATACGCTATTGGCGGTTCTATCTGTTACTGCCCCTGTATCTTGTATATTGACGAATGGTTTGTCAAACGCAAAGGAATGGCCTATGGCACTATGTGGGCGGGTAGCGGCCTTGGCGGTTTTACTATTCCTCTTCTTTTGGAGTTTTTCCTCAACAAGTATGGGTTCAGAACTACATTGCGGATATGGTCTCTCAGCATCTTTGTCTTGTCTGCACCCCTGATCCTGTTCATCAAGCCACGGGTACCTGCTTCTGGCACACACCTCAACCCTTTTAACCTCAAGTTCTTGTTAACCCCTTCTTTCGGCCTGTTCCAGCTCACGAATATTGTCGAAGGCATCGGCTACTTCCTTCCGGGCATCTATCTGCCGACATATGCTCGTGCTGCTCTTGGTGCTGGCGATTTCCCGTCGGCTCTGACGCTCTTGGTCTTGAATGTCGGTGCAGTCGTAGGGTGCATCATCATGGGCAGCTTGACTGATCGTCTCCATGTGACGACTTGTATTGCAATCTCAACCATTGGCACCGCAATCGGCACCTTCTTCCTCTGGGGCCTTGGCACCAACATGGCGTCTCTTTACGTGTTCTGTGTCTTATATGGTCTGTTTGCAGGCTCGTATACGTCAACCTGGCCTGGAGTCATGCGGTATCTGGTGTCGAAACTGAGCGGGTCAGGAGAAGAGGGAGGAAGCGGTGGCAGCTATGACCCTCTCATGATCTTTGGCGTGCTTTCCGCTGGACGTGGCATTGGCAACGTCATCTCGGGGCCGCTGAGCGAGGCACTGATCAAAGGGATGCCATGGCAAGGCCAAGCCGCTGCTGGATACGGGAGCGGGTATGGCACACTGATAGCTTTTACAGGGGCAACGGCTGTTGTTGGTGGAGGCAGCTATATGTTTAAGAGAATTGGGTGGCTATAAACAAAAGTGTTAACCTCTTGGGGTAATAAGTAGACCAGGAATCACATAGACTGCAGCTTAGTTTGCTAAAAATAGAACATGACATTAAACTCGCATATAAATCCTTTATTTTCACCTCCGCAAGCCATAGTATTAACCGGTGCGGTCTGAACGACCCTTGCCTTTTGAATATATCCGCCATCAATACAAAACTCCCATCAACGTGATATCATAACCCATTTTCCCAACACCCGATTTCGTAGGGCCCCACTATGCATCCGAACCTTGCCAAACCCAGCTTATTCTCGTAGGAGTCCTGCAGCTTGAACCTGCTGGAAAATCTCGAATTCGTTGACTTCCGTCTTCGTACGCTTCTTCTCGACCCAGCGGCGGAGGCCTGGAACCTTGGAGGCAGCGCTCAAGAATTCATTCTTCAAAGGCAGTGATCCCGTCTTCTCTTCGTACATGAGCAGAGTAACCGTAAGTATGAGGAAGAGCCAGTAAATGTTGTAAGCAATCACTGAGCCGTATGTGCCGGTGTTTTGCCAGCCGAGAATAGAGTTGAAAACATCCCAGCCGTTGTCGGTTTCGGGATTGCAGCAGTTCACATGCCAGACGGTCTCGAGAATGTTGTATGAGCCGGGGCCGTTGCCTGCTTCAGCAACATCGCTTCCGACACGCTGGGCAAATGTGTGGTACTGCAGACTCCAGACGGCCTTTGAGAACATGCCGGCGGCAATCAGATACAAGACGCTGGTTGAGGCAATGAGGAAGAGCTGGATTGACATCAGGTTGCCACCGCGGTAGATGAAGAAACCGACCGCGAGACCGGCGATGATGCCGCAAACGACAGGCAGAGGGAAGGCCGTCGCAGGCAAGCTGAGAGAGACGCCTCCGACAAAGACGACGGCCTCGACTCCTTCTCGCAGAGTGGTGATGAAGGGCAGGATGAACATGACGTGCCTTCTAGACCAGTCGCTAAGCCAGTTCCTCGGCTTTTCAGCGTCGGCCGACTTCTCAGCCAAAGCCTGAGCAATCTTGACACGCCATTTGTCCTTCATTTTGTTGATTCTCAGCAGGGCAAGTCCCATGATGGAGACGATGATTGCGGCAATCAGATAAAAGATGCCCTCCCAGAGATCCTCAGACTTTGACCAGATATCCTTGCCAAGGCCGTAAAAGGCCCCGATGAAGCCACCGCCAATGATGAGGCAGATGACAATACCAGCCGCTGAGCCAAGCCATACCTGCCTGACCAGGCGTTTATAGATGGCCTGGTCCTGGCCTGGTCCACCGAGACATTGTTTGAGGAAAGAGAGGAGGACTGAGATGATGATGACAGCTTCCAAGCACTCTCGGAACACAATGAAGAAGATCTGGACGGCGAAGACGTTCTTCGCCATTGTGTCTGTCTACACCACAAGTGAGTGGCCGACACTAGGAAAAGAAAAAGAAAAGTGATGGGTGATGGAAAGATGGAGGGGGAGAGACGAAAGGGACTCTTTTTCCCAATGGCGGCCAGCAATTGATGTATATTTAGCCTCGCATGGCCGCATACGGAATGAGTAAGGCTTGAATAACACGCCAGGAAAAAGCTTTCAGGGCAGCTCCAGCCGAGAAGGGCCGCGACCTTCAACTAAGCTTGTAATAGAAACTGGGATTGACTCCGACGGCTCATTGGAGGCGCCGGTTGGAAGCACCACAAGTGGACTCGCTCAGCCAAATCAGATGATCAGATAATCGCATCGGCCAGTCAGATTCGCCTGATGCATCTCCAGCTGTGGCTCCCCGGCTAAGACGGCACGGCGGCCCACCACCACGATGCGCTTTGCTGAGGATTTTGAGTTATCTGATCAAACGAAAAATTATCTGATCAAGAAAATGGCTCAATTCCAGCCCCGAACCATTGTTATCTGATCACGCCAGGCGGCTCCTCGGCAGAGCTATTGGACGCCAAGAAGGGTCTGCAGTGAGTCTAAACGGGGCCTGATGGGCTTAATCTGGTTTCTGGGTCGTGATACAAGGACCCAATGCTGCGGTGCTCGGCCCTCATGCACAGAATTTTTCCATCTAGCCTGTGGGGGCTGTCTAGTTTTGTCCTGTTAGCCTGTTTAGTGGTTCTAGGAACCCGGCTTGTTGGTTATCTGATGGATGGGAGCTGGCCTCGGGAACTTTGTGAGAGTCAAGGGGAAACATTGTTCCATTCTTGCTGGGGGGAGTTGATGGGGAAATCACATAAGATCAATATCAGCCCCTACCGCCCACACTCTGACCGTGGCACACAAAGTTCAAAGTTGCTTGTGGCTGTACCGAGTTTCTCATCCATTGCCCTCCAGACGGAGTGCGAGAGAGACGGGACTAGAGCGGCTGAAGGGTCAATTGGCTGCTGAACTGGCCATTGCTTTGTCTGCTTTCACCAACTCTCCAACATGAAGCGATTCCTGCTTCTGGCCCTCGCGGCGCTTGGCCAGGCCAAGACGGTTACACACGACTTCAACGTCACCTGGGTCACGGCAAATCCCGATGGCCTGGCAGAGCGCAAAGTCGTGGGCATCAACGGCCAGTGGCCGCTGCCCGTCATCGAGGTCAACAAGGGCGATCGCCTCGTGGTCAACATGCACAACAGCCTGGACCGGGCCGCCTCGATCCACTGGCACGGCATGTTCCAGAACAACACAAACTACATGGACGGCGCGTCCATGATCACCCAATGCCCTGTGCCGCCCGGCTCGAGCATGACTTACAACTTCACCGTCAACCAGAACGGCACCTACTGGTACCACTGCCATACAGACTACTGCTACCCCGATGGCTACCGCCAGGCGCTCATTGTCCACGACGAGGACGCCCCGTTCAAGTTTGACGACGAGTTCACAGTCACCCTGTCCGATTGGTATCACGACATGGTGGAGGACTTGTCTGCGGGCTTTATGTCTGTCTTCAACCCCACCGGCGCGGAACCGATTCCCAATGCTTTCCTCTTCAACGACACATTGAACTCCAGCCTGCCCGTGAAGCCGAACAAGACATACCTGATCCGAATCATCAACATCAGCGCCTTTGTCGGGCAGTACTTCTACATCGAGGGCCACAACTTCAAAATTGTGGAAATCGACGGCGTCTATACGGAGCCCGCTGAGGCTGACACGCTCTACCTTGGTGTTGCTCAGCGATATGCGATTCTTTTGACGACGAAGAACGAGACGGACACAAACTATCCTATTGTTACGGTTGCAGATTCCTCTCTGCTCGATACCATGCCTCCAGAGCTCCGCCTCAACAACACCAACTGGCTGGAATACAACAAAAATGCCGACCACCCACAGGCGACTATCAATGTCACAGACAGCACACAAATCGTTCCATTTGATGACATCGCATTGGTGCCCTCTGATGGAATGGAGCTGCTTCCCGAGCCAGACATGGATCTCAACGTTACTGTCATCATGGGTAACCTGAACAATGGACAGAGCTATGCGTTCCTGAACAACATTTCATTCACAACGCCAAAGGTGCCATCTCTCTACACGGCAATGTCAGCCGGAGAGGATATCGTCAGCAACAAGGGCATCTATGGCGAATTCACTCATCCAATGGTTCTGAACCACAATGACGTCGTGCAGATTGTGGTCAACAACGCTGATGGCGGCTCGCATCCGTTCCATCTTCACGGCCACAACTTCCAGGTGATTGATCGCCAGCCTCCCTATGGAGAGCACTTTTTCGATTACTTGAACGGAGATCCCGTGCCGTATGACCCAAGCAACCACACGGCCTTTCCCAAGATTCCCGCCCGCAGAGACGTCGTTGTGCTGCCGCCCCAGGGCTACTTTGTCATGCGTTTTGTTGCTGACAACCCCGGTGTTTGGATCTTCCACTGCCACATTGACTGGCATCTTTCTTCTGGTCTGGCCATGATCCTCATCGAAGCCCCTCAGCAGATGCAAGAGCGCATGACGATCCCGCAAGAGCACATCGACGTTTGTCAGGCTGCCGGCATTGCCTCCAAAGGAAACGCCGCCGCTGACACGCTGGATTTCCTCGATCTCAAGGGCCAAGCGTCTCAGCCCGGCTGGATTCCCGACGGATTCACAGCTCGGGGAATTGTTGCGCTTGTTTTCTCCATTTTGTCTGCCATCTGCGGTATCATTAGCATTGTCATCTATGGTTTGGCAGATGTGAAGAGCAAGCAGGCCGATGAAGTGTCAACAGAACGCGAACAGAGCGGTGTTGTTGTGGTGGAGGAGAACGTGGAGAACCCGTCCAAGTCATGAGAGGATATGAATTTTGATGATTGCATTTGATGGTTTAGGTTAGGCAAAATACCCAAATAATGGAGATGGAAGGAAATCAAAAAAAGGGAGTTTGTGCTATTAATGGAGCTCTGGGAGCTGTTTTACATATTAATTGGATTATTTGTTCAACTTTTTTTTTTCCAAACTAATTTTTTCTGGCACTCGCTCGTGCTTTACTAAAGATGCTTGAAAAACACTGCAAGGGAAACTCGAGAACAGTATTGCTCAGATAGGTACCCAAAAGATGTGGAAACGCCGAACCAATTCGCCAAAACGGCATAAAACCTTTCTCGTCATCCTGCGATGTAACAGTAAATCGCTGTAGATACCTGATTTATCCCGCATCGACCGTCAGCAAAACTGCCTCTGGCGTCAAACAACCCTGCGAATCGGTCATACGGTGCGGGGCCTTATTTCGAAAGATTAATAAAACTAACGAATATCATTCTCTTCAGACCAGAATCTTCGAATCCTAATTTCTTTGGGGGCTTGTAAAGGTAGAGAAGCTCCGAGGCGAATATTAGTACAGAAAATTAGTTTGATTTCCTATACTCCAACATGGCTGTCGTCCATGCCGGCCCAACTGATTCCTGGCATGGAGTTATCAAACCCGAGAGCCAATTCCCACCCGAAGCAGGCCGCTATCATTTCTACGTCGGACTCTTTTGTCCATTTGCGCATCGCGTTCTCCTTGTACGATACCTCAAAGGGCTGGAATCCCTCATCGATGTCTCAGTTGTGATGCCGTATCCCAAAGGCAACGGTGGCCGGGCAGGCTGGCGATTCCCTACCTCAAATGACGAATACGCGGGAGCGACTGTGGACAAATTGTTCGGATCCAAGGACCTTCATGAGCTCTACTTTAGAGCCGATTCTGGCTACGAAGGAACAAAGTACAGCGTTCCGGTGCTGTGGGACACCAAAGAGGGAACTATTGTGAACAACGAAAGCGCCGAGTTGCTGCGCTGGCTTCCAACCGCCTTTGAAGACGTACTGCCCAAAGAGGGACAAAAGTACGAACTGGATCTCTACCCGGCGCAGTTGAGAAGTCAGATCGATGAGATTTCTGAGTGGATGCAGAGAGATCTCAATTCTGGAGTTTACAAGGCCGGATTTGCGGAGACACAAGAGGCCTATGATAAGAATGTGCCTGTCGTCTTTGCCGCTTTGAACCATCTAGAAAGTCTCATCCATCGCAACGGTGGCCCGTACATTCTGGGCAGTCATCTCACAGAACTTGACATTCGTGCGTACACAACCATTATACGGTTTGACGCTGTCTATGTCCAGCACTTTAAATGCAACCTGGGAACAATTCGCGCAAATTATCCAGTCATTCACGAGTGGCTGAAGAATCTGTATTGGAATGTAAAGGGGTTCAAGGAGACGACAGACTTCAAGCATATCAAGGAAAACGTGAGTCGATATCATTCAAGAATCACATACCCAAGTCGTGGACATGCCTGATCTAACATTGGACAAGTATACCAAGAGTCACACGAAAATCAATCCACTAGCAATCACTCCTCTAGGCCCGTATCCTGAAGTGGAGGAGGGCATTAACTTGAACTTTGCCGAGCTTAAGCCAGGTTCTGTGAGGCATCCTATCGTTCTTGAGAGGCAGGCCGAATTGTATAACTAGACGCTTCATAGAGACCAACAAATTTATTTCGCGTGCCAGTTGATTCTAAGTCTACCAAACTCCGCCAACCAGAAACTTATACATATGATACCGGATACTAGTGCTTTAAGGTCTTCCCATAGCACGCTCAATTTCCACCAGTGCGGCGAGAACCTTTTCATCGTACTGTCGCCTGCCAACAATCTGCAGGCTCACTGGTGCATTGACATACTTCTCTGGGCTGTACATCTCATACACGAATCGATCTTGGTCGTTCTTGGGTACGTAGCTCGTATCCTTGACGTCCTTGTCCTGGTCGACGGTGGTGACGGGGAAGACAACGGCCGGGTAGTCCAGGAGGTTCCATTGCGAGGTGTAGCCCCAGTACCGCGACTGCTCGAGAGGAGCAGCAGCTCCAAATGAAGGAGGGCACAGAATGACATCGACCTCTCTCTCGCCGTTGGCTGCGGTGGCTGTCCAGGCCTTGGCGTATCTTGCGCGGTAGGAATCTCGTTGAGCGGTCAACTAAATAGAAGAAATTATGTCAGTATGTTTGATGGTGGTGACTTTAAAAGCCTTGAAGAAGAACTCACCTCCCAAAGCTCAGCCACAGTCCTGGCCTTGACATTTGGCTGCTCTTCAATAATGAATTTGGTCAATGGCAAGACCGACTCTCCAGCTCCCTTGATCAAATCGAGAACCTCTTTGCCGCCGTCGGGCCAGTAGAGCCCTGAGATGATGTCCCAGGCTTCGTCATGGCCAAGTGATTCGCAGTTCCAGTCGACCACCTCATGACCAGCCTTTCGACACGCGTCGGCAACTTCTTTCAGCGCACGTATCATGGGAGGGTGTGGCTTCACAACGCCATCCCACCACTGAACGGCAATCTTGAGCGGCTTTGTGAAGTGATATGGCGTCCACTCTTTGACGGTAAGAGATGGGTCGTGGCGCCATGGCTCAGCAGCAATGGCGGTTTTCATGAAGAGTTCTAGTACGTCACGCTCTACTGTCATAGGCCCGGGAGTAGAGAGAATGGTTTCCTTGCCAGCCATGTTGGCCCTCTGCCCAAAGACAGAAATGCGTTTAGAACTTGGCCTGTAAAGCGTGTCAGTGATACTGAAAAAGTGCAAAAGAGGGCTCATCCACTCACTTGAAGCCATATATACCGACATGGGCACATGGACATCGCACGCTGCCTCCAATATCACCGCCAACACCCTGCTCGGCTCAGTACTCTGATCAGAAGACGCGAAACATGGCATGTATTTGACTCACCAAAAGGCTGCCGCGCATACCAACGAGAGCAGATTCACCTCCAGAGCTTCCTCCAGGAGTCAGAGTACGGTTGTACGGGTTGACGGTAACTCCATATACATTGCTGCTCGTCTCCAAGTGCATAATCGTTTGAGGCTGGGTGGTTCTGGCGTAGAAGACGCATCCTTCACTATACAAGATATCGTAGAGAAGATTTGAGCCGTGATTATCGCCAACCCAGCCGATATAGGAGGCGTTGGTGGTTACGTTGTCGCCAACCATTCCATGATGCTCCTTTGTTGAGATGGGAAGGCCGAAAAAGGTGCCTTTGGGCTCTGGCAGGGAATCAAGGTGCTTTGCACGAGCAATCGCTTGATCCCATAGCAGCTCAGTGAGACAGTTGACCTAATTTGTTAGGATCAGTTGATGCCCAACAGTGATGTATGAGAGATTGCATAGTTGTGAATGACACGTACAGCAACCTGGGCCACCGCCGCTCTGCGCAGGAATGCCCGCGTTACCTCCTCGACGGAGATTTTCCTTTCACGAAGAATCTTCAACAATTCGGTCACAGAGTATTTCTCCGTGATTTCGATTTCCCGGGCCGTCAACACCCCCTTTGGCAGATCCTGAGAACTGAGGGGTAGTATATCAGGGATGCCCTCTAGCTTAGGCTCAACTTTGGCGAGACCGGCGTCGCGCCTTGCTTGAGCTGAAGAAGCCTTTACTTCCCATGACTGAAGGTTTTGAGCGTCACCCATTGTTCCTTACTTTCTGAACTCTGTGTTGGAAAAGGCTATTGTGGATGAATGAATGAATGAATTTGTCAATGTTGGAGGAAAGATAACAAGTTGAGATCGAGGCTGAGGCCGGCTTATAACGGGGTCCGCGAGTTCCACTTATGGACTGTCGCCCTTGACGCCGCCCAATGGAGGCGACCAGATTCCAGAGTCTGGGGAAGGTTTGGCCTGAAACGGAATCTAAAAGGAGCGCTAGAAGTGGTATCTAAAGAGAGCGAGCGCTATTACCAGATATTCTCCGCTACCCCTCATGGTATCACGGCAAATGAGGGGTCGTGGTGGCTCAAAGTCGATAAGCTAACGGCCTGCTATCACCGGACGCCGAATCCATCACGTGGATATGCTCTCGTATGTTTAGATTGCATTTCTATGGCGTAAATTAAATGGGTTGATTAGCTACAGATCGGGTAGATACGGGTAAGGGCGTAGGTTTGCTCTGAAGATAGTGTCACTGCACGCGTTTGGCGGCCTCACATTTGTAATATATTATTCTTACTAAACAGTATCTTGAGTGAAGAGAATTAACAAGCTTTTATTCTTTTCTCAGTCGTGTCTCTACCAAAAAGACTTAATTATAGCTCGGTGCCTAGATTAATATGGACTGCTTTAGATTGCGTGTAAGCATCCAGCGCGTACTGGCCAAGCTCTCTGCCAATGCCCGACGACTTGTAGCCGCCAAACGGAATGCCAAAATGTGAATCGCCAGACGAGTTTATGAAAACCATGCCGGCTTGGAGCTTGCGAGCTACTTTGTGTGCCCTAGCCACCCTTTGCGTGAAAACTGCGGCGGCCAGTCCATATGAGGTGTCATTTGCCTTGGCGATGGCTTCTGCCTCGGTGCTGAACTTGGAAATGGCAACGACAGGGCCGAAAATCTCCTCTTTGACGATTTTCATATCTTCCGTAGTCTATAATGCCTCGAGTTAGTGGAGTTTCACAGTAAATTGTTGATAAGACAAGAAATATGGTTCATACGTCGGCAAAAATGGTGGGCTGGATAAAGTAGCCCTTGTCACCGTGCTTGGCACCGCCATGGAGCAGTCGGGCGCCAGACTTCTTGCCCTCTTCGATGTAGCCCAATACTCTGTCGAATTGCGCTTTGGAGACTTGAGGGCCTTGGTAAGTGTCTTCATGGAAAGGATCGCCAATCTTTGAGGCGAGCTCCTTGGTTCTCTGGGTAAACTTTTCGAGGAACTTGTCGTAGATTGTATCTTGTACGCAAATTCGAGATGTTGATGTGCAAACCTAAGAAGTCAAGATTAATTATGGCGACGCAATTGAGATGAAGCTTCTATGTATAGACTTACTTGACCCATGTTATCCATGATACCGCCGTGACTCCATTTCACAGCCTGATCGAGATCTGCATCATCGAAAATGATACAAGGACTCTTGCCACCGCATTCTAAAGTAATATTCTTCAGATTACTTGCGGCCGACTTCATAATCGCCTTTCCAGTGGCGGTGCTTCCAGTAAAGGCAATCTTGTCCACGTCCATGTGGCTTGCAAGAGCTTTGCCGGCTACACCTCCGAGGCCGGGGACAATGTTGACGACACCTGGGGGAAAGCCAGCTTCGGCGACGAGGTTGCCAAAGTATAGAGCCGAGAGAGGTGTTTGTTCTGCAGGCTTCAGCACTACAGTATTTCCGCATGCTAGAGCCGGCGCAATCTTCCATGCGAGCATCATGAAGGGATAATTCCTGGCACTCTGTTAGTCGCGATATACTAACAAGTAATAGCTTGCCTCTTCAAGTTAACCTACCAGGGAATAATCTGGCCACAGACTCCGAGAGGCTCTTGTAACACATAGGCCAGCTTCGTGGGCCCCGTCTCGATTGTCTTGCCCATGATCTTATCGGCAGTGCCGGCGTAGTATCGGAAGACATTGTAGCTCTCAAGAAGGTCCAGTCCATATGCGTCGGCAAAGGACTTGCCGTTGTCGAAGGAATCAATGCTTGCCAGTAGCTTTCTGTCTCTCTCAATCAATTCGGCAAGCTTGTAGATGAGGGCGCCGCGATCTTTTGTTTCAAGCTCCGACCATTCTCCCTCGAAAGCGCGGCGAGCAGCGGCAACAGCTTTATCTATGTCGGCCTCAGACGCGCCTTGTAAAGTGATGATCTCCTCTTCAGTTCTAATGAGTATTATGTTAGGTTACACTGTTCACATAAAGCACACTCGGCCTAGAAGTATGGTTAGAGAGCCTTACGCGGGATTATAAACGGTAAACTTTTCGCCATTGCCGGCGATGAATTTATTGTCGATGAAAAGGCCAGTGGGCTGGTCATAATTGAGCCCATTGGGCAAAGAAATCTTCACGGAGGCAGTCATTTTATTTAAAGACGATAGGTTGTTACTAGAGGGAACGGATCTCACAATCGGAGAAGCAGCACAAGCCTATATATACCCTCCACTGGCTAACGAGACATTGATGTAATCACATTCGTCACTTGTAAGACAAACGACCCTTGGCTAGGCTACACGCCGCGGGGAACTGTCGCCACTTAATGCTATCAGCGTCTAGATACACGCTAATTGAAGCCATCTTAGAGCAGCGTGGACTTGTGACAGACAAGCCGAAGCCACCGGAAGCTTATCACTAGTGATTATACTGCTTGCTTGTGTTACCCTGCAATTTCGCATACAAGAAGCTCCTATTTCACACGGCAATCTGATGCAGCAACTGGCCACTTTTCCTTTCAAGATTTAATTTCATTTTGAACAATCCACGGAGCAATTTCATTTCTATCATCTGCGTCTTCTCATGCAGAACGATCAAGGCCTATCAATGGAGTATTACTGGGTAGAAATCGTGGAGTGGGGTCTTCCCCTCCTCGGTGCGAAAAGAGGGTGGAGATGTGCTACCAGCGACTATTCCAGTTCCAAAGAGACTACTTCCATCAGGTTACCAAAGACAGTTAAACTCTTCATGATCGTGAGCTCCATATGATAATTAGCAGCCGTTCCTAGCTTAGTTTGTGTTTAAGACAGTATCTGTGGCCAGCTATATATCACAGGCCTCATCTGACTCTGATTACTCGATCACTATACAAACCCCTCGTTTACTGCCCCAACTATTTTTATTGACTTTGATGAATCGTGGAAAATAAATCTGCAACTTGCACATAAAGATACATGCTAAGATTATGGATATATTGTTATTAATTCGCAAGTCATTAAGCATTGCTAATAAGTTTCCGAGCAGCTGAGATCAATACATGCAACATGACAATTTGATGCACAATTCACTCTGCATTTCGCTACTACCAATCTTCATCCCCAAGAACTTGTGTATGCCCAGCACTCTAGGACTTCTCAGCCTCCACTGTCACCACCTCATCAGGATGTTGGCTGTAAAGGATTGCGTTGAGGCCAATTTCGTTGTTGATCTCCTCCATGCGCTCAAAGTCTGCACGCGCGGTACCTTCGCTGCCAAAGATGATGTCCTATAGTAACAGTAAGTATCGTGGCTTTTGTAGATTTGGACGTGATGAGGTATCTTACCATCTCTTCTAGGGTTAGACGCTTGGTCTCGGGGACGAAGAAGTAGATGAACGCAGCACCAAGGTACGTGAGGACTCCGAAGAGGATATAAGTACCATACGTGATGCCTTGCAACATATCAGGGGTGACTTGACCAATGCTGTGAAAAGTTGGATTAGAGGCTGAATGCAAGTTTGGATAGCTGCATGTCGACTTACATAAAGTTGTTCATCCAGTTGCTAGATGCGCCCAGCGAGACACCATAAGGTCGAGTGCTCAATGGCCAGATCTCGGCGATGATGATCCAGGCACAAGGTCCCCAACTGTAGCCGAAGTGAACGACAAAGAGCCAGACCATGGCAATGGCAGCCCAACCGGCAGCCTGGTGGTTTGGCCAGTCCTTGGAGTTCTTGGCAAAGAGAATGGCGATGATGATGTGGCATGTAGCCATACCGATGGCACCGGTAATCAGCACGGGCTTGCGTCCAATTCGATCGACCCACAGCACGGCTGGGACTGTGGCAACGAACATGACGATGCCAACCACGCCGGTGGCAAGCAGAGAAACGGTGTTGTCGGTTTGTCCGAGATCCTGGAAGATGGTCGGGGCGTAGTAAAGCACGGCGTTGATTCCTGTCCACTTCCAAGAGTGTTAGTATTCCTCAGCAAGGCGGGCGTAGGACGGTTCGTAGTCTTACCTGCTGGAAAAACATGGTGATACTGGCAATGGCACTACGCTTCAGCATGCTCCTTGAGGTAAAGAGAGACTTGATGGCAACAAATTGAAGCTTGAAGTTGTTCCACACAGTTTGCTCACGGAGCTGAGGAAACTGCTCGGCGATGCTTCGCTTTTCAAACAGAGACTGAGCCTTGATTTCCAGGAATTCGAGTTCAATCAGCTCGTGGTCAATGGGAAGACCTCGGAGGGTTGAGAGAATCTGTCTAGCTTCGCCTTCGCGGTCGTGGTGAACCAGCCAACGGGGAGAGAATGGCATAAAGATCATGCCGACCAGGAGACACAGGCAGGGGAAGATCTGGAGGCACACGGGTACAAGCCAAGATGCGTCGCTCTGTTCGCCAAGCAAGGTTCCGCCAATGTAGTTGGTGCCGCTAAGATACGTTAGTGCTGCCGTAGATGTAGGTGTAATATTTTGTTGTAAAGGACATACTAATCAATCCAGAATGAAACCATGATTCCAAAGCAGATGGCGAGCTGTTGGAGGGCAACAAGGGCACCTCGGACCTCACTTGGCGAGTTGTCAGCTATTTCGTGATAATTTTGGGAAGTAGATATCAAACTTACGGAGGAGCTACTTCGGAGTTGTAGATTGGTACAATCATAGACAAGCTTCCAACTCCCATACCGCTGCGTTGCAAGTTAGTATAAATTCATATCCATATCTATTGTAAACTCGAATGAAAACGTACGTGACGAATCGGCCTCCGAGAATGGCGGGGTATCCGGCTTGGATGGAGGATGCCTGAACAACAACACCGATAATGAAGATGCAGCAGGCAACGATGATGCCATATTTACGGGAGATGGCCTCGGCCATGAAACCAGAGAACAGGGTGCCGAACCAGGCACCAAGTTCCAGGATGGCTGTCAACCAACCCTTCTTGGTCTGGCTAGCATTGGGGTCGAGAGGATCGTACGCTCCCATGTCTAGACAATATGTTAGTCAAACATTCGACCTTATACTGCTGTAAGTTCACGGATGAAGTAAACGCTACTTACGCTGTTTGAAAGATGGCATGGCAAGAACACCAGAAAACATGCCCTGGTTGTAACCATACAGCACACCACCGATACAGGCAAAGGCAGCCAAGCTGAAGACACGAAAGTTCTTGACAAGAGCGCGAGCTCCGCTGTTGCCCATGAGGGCCTGGCGGCGATTCAACGCTGCATTGTAGATGGCAGCGCCGGAGTCGCCTTGGACGCCCATTGTGAGGACGAGAGATGGGGACGTATTTCCTTTCTTCACTTGTTGCAAAACAAAAGAAGATTTAGGATATCGAAAGGAAGAAAAAAGTAGATGATGGAAAGAAGAAAGAGGAGGAGGAGGAGGAGGAGGAGAAGAAAAAGGCAGAGTCCGGATTGAGCCCTGTTACATCCTGCAATACGACCCTGGGAAGCAGAGGGCCATTACTACTTTATAAATGATTTGTCTTTTCGAGCTCTTGTCTCCATGTACCCGACGGGCAGGGTCATCTCGAAGAATCAATGCGATATTCACCCAAAGCGCGTGGTGCCCTCGGCGCTACGGCAAGGAGCGCTCTGGCCATTTAGCCTAAATAGCCGCAGCCTTGAAATATCCCGTAGCTCACGAGTGGCTCACCAATATCGAGCCGACTAACAGACTGACAGGGGCCGTCGTCCTAAAGGAATAAAGAGCGGCGAGGAAAAGTGTTAACGGTCCGACTATAGTCACCCGTGGCGACCCTATGCGGCGAGTTCCCCAGATCAGAAGATAATCTGAGTTTTTCCCGGAGTACTCAGCCCGCTTCGGCCAAGCACTGTCTGGAGGAAGATGAAGGGTAAGGCTGGGAGAAAACGTCAAAATGCTGCAGCTACATAGTAGTAGGAGTACCTAATAATACTAGACTAGCCCTTTTCCCATTCTAATATCAACATGACGATGTAGTGGGTAATGAAGCTGAATCTCCAGCGGGAGGATAAATAGCATGTCTGGGCTACCGCTAGACCAGCGGAGCATGTACATGTAGCCCATCTGCAGCAGTCCGGATCAAGTTGGAGTAGCACCTATCAGCAATGTCACTTCTGCAGAGCAGTTCCTCATGGTGCCGTAGCAACTACCACCCCAAGTACACGTATTGGACCAACAGCTGGGTTACCGGCTTACACGCCCTCCGCGTTTCTGCTGGATCGCGATTCCCATTTCCCCAAAGCAGTGGATTTTAGCTGTCTGGCAAGGCGAATGAGATTCCCCAGTTGCGGCAATATTACCCCACAAACCCACACCCGCGAATGGGGAAGCCTTGTCGACTCAAGGATCTAGTAGTGGTAGTAAAGCCCACTCCAACGAATCCACGAGGCGGCTATATTAACCGGAAAGTATGGGGGTGTGTCTATGTGGCGCCCAATACGGGATCAGCCGCTAATATGCTCTGAGAGTCATCTGCTCCGGGCAACTCATCCGGGATGGGATTCCTCGAGCCGTAACCTTGGCATTGGAAAAATTCCACGTTTTGGGCGCTGGACACTCGGTGAAAGCTCCGGCTAAATGCATCACCCCATCATTCAAGGATGGCATGATTCGTGGGCGTTCAACGGCGCCTTTTTTTTTTTTTCACCTCTAGCTTGCTGTGTGACGGTGAAGGAAACTTTTATTTTGGGATATTATCATGGAGCTCGGCACAAAACCAAGTTCGAATTTCTCTGTCAGTTGGGCCGTGAGCTATTCTCGTGCTTCGGCAAACAACGCAAACACTATAGGAATAGACACAATCAATAACCGCCCCCCTAGCGCCATGCTAAATCGTTTTTTTGCCTCCTTTTCGAAGTTTCCTGGGATATTCCTGATTGAAATGACACATATCACGCGCCCTTTGAAAATATTTTCACATGTCCTACTATCAGCTACAACTGGCTGTGGCCTCTAGGATCCTCCCAGCAGCCAAGCATCCATCTCCCACTCCATACGTTGGTTCATAAAAGGGTTCCCTAGGGTTTCCAAGTCTATCAAAGACGGGTCGATGCCCAGCATGCCCTGCCCGCTTAGCAGCTCGTCAAAGTCCAACGGAGAGTCGCCCAGTGCAAACGGGTCGGCTTTGGCCCCCGGGAAATTCAGGCCCCATGCATCTTGCTGCGTAGGTGTAGTTGTGGGCAGAAGGGCTGGCTCTGTTGGCTCTGTTGGCTGCGTGGATGACAGGGTCTGTTCTGCATCCGGAACCGGCGTATGGCGCTCGCTTTCTGACGGAGTCTTTTTGGATTGGGCCAATTCTTCTTTCAGCTCTGAGAACCGGATATTCTCCACCAACGTGGCGTTGCTGAGGTTCAGATCCAGGTTCAGGAAGAATCTCAGGTACTCAAGCGGGCTGTAGTCAATCAGCTCGATGAACTCGGTGACCTGAGACGCCTTTCCGGTCATGAATCGGGACTGAGCTGCGTCTGTCAGTCGTCGAATAATCACACACATGGCGTCGACTCCACCGAGCCGCCGGTGGCATTGCTTGACGAGATTGATTAGGGAATGCAGTTGCTCTTGGTGCATTGCCGCCCGCGAGCTGACAACGCCACGGGATAAGATCTTTGCGTTGAGAATCTGCACCAGGAGGGGCATGGCAACAAATGCAACACTTTGACGTCCAGAACGAGTTAGCATAAAGCATTCATGCTCACGGGCAGGGGTTAGAATGGTGAGTGGTGGCAGTATAGGTTAATCTTACACGCTGACGGGCAGATATTGCGCCAGTCCAAGCTGCACAGGGTTGGAAAGGTGCTTGATTAGGTTGTCGACGGCATCGCGAACTTGGTCGCTTTTGCCGGCAAGCAAGGGGTACGGCCCTTCGCCATTTGCGTTGTCGGAGTCGCGAACGGCGTAGAAAATCTCTTGGTGGTGGATGGCCAGTTTTGCAGCGCTGAATCAGCCCCTGTCAGCGTTGTCTTTATGTTTGCTGTATTACCGCATGTGCAGAGTGTTGCAGTATTATATACCAGCATCTCACGGTGATGGGTAGGTGACATTGGGACTTACAAGTAGTATATAAACATCAGATTAGTCTGTATGATGACAAAATGTGGCTGGACCCCTGGCCGATCTCCATTGTCTGGGAACTGCAGCCTGGTTTCATCATGCCATGCTTGCAGCTGAGCCATGCAATTCGCCATTGCTTGATGATCCGTCCTGGTCGTCTCGCTATCGATTCCGTCTTCTGAAATCGAACATAGCCGGAGCACGTCTGTCATGATGACGACCAACTTGGATATCTGATTGAATATGTCGAAGAAACGCCGCTTTGCTTCGGCGTTATACACGCGAGAGCGGTGGATTTCGTTTTCAAAGTCCTCCAGAGTCAGCAATGGATACTTGCCAGGGATCCGCATCGTCCGATGAAGAGCCAGCGCGAGGGAGCGGTCGCGAAAGTAGCAGCACCACCATAGTCGCCGAAGCAATCTCCGTGTTTTGGGGAGGATATTTTGCGTGTGCTGGCTGGCATGCTTCGACGACAAGTGATGTGCTCGGAGGGATTTTGCGTGTCGAATGGCTGTGCTCAGCCATTCTGAGTTTGCTTTCGTAAGACCTAGCCGTAGACCGCCGGGCCAGAATGTGAGCAGTATCGCCACTTGGCCGAGAGCAATGGGATTTGACTCGATTTCAAAGTCGTATAGGATCTGTACAAAGCATCGTTTCGCAATCTTAGCAGTGTTCATTGCAATGGCGTGCTTGGGATAGGCTTCAGACCTTGGTCTTCTTGTAAAAGGCCTCTGCGGCTGCCCTTGGGTAGGGGAAGCCTGCTGCTTCTGCAACAGCTTCTGGAATGAACTATTGAGTGTGTTTGTTAGAGATTATAGCATGAACATTATACGAAGGATATGTAGGACTCGAGGCTCACGGCACACGCAGCGAAGACCATCGCTTGAAACAAAAGCAGTGGGATCTTTTCTCCATTGGAACATGAGAAGGAATCCCAGAAATCACCCTCATCAAGTAGCGGTACGATGGGATGTGTATGGAGGAAATACATGCGAACTAGTTCGTTGAGAATCGGCATAGGGGGAAGCTCGAAACACCCATTCAGCTGCATAAACCGAACATCCAGCGCTGAGAGATGGCCCAGGTCGGGGGTTGCGATAAAGGGCAGCGTGTCATAGCTATTGTATCCGCTGCCATTGGCCGCCGCTCTCGATGAATTTGATCCAAACCGACCCGACTTCGTTTTGCCGTTGTGTACATTCGCGATTGCCGAGGCCGTCTTTGGCGAGAATCCGTCGAGGTCGATGCAGTTGCTTTCGTTCGATCGTTCGTCGCTATGAGGGCTGGTCGATGATCCTTTGCCAAACGGCGGCACTCCGTTCAGTCGCTTGGCCCATTGATCTATGCTGTCGATGCCCGAGGGCTTCTCGTCTGCGACTCTCGTCGATAGGCCTTCGATCACCGAGCCGCCTTCACGGTAGGCCGAGATTTTCGAATCTGACAGCGGTCTTTGGCCGCCCACAGTCAGTCTTATGCAGGAACAGTTCGCAGTCACGGTCGCCATACCGTTTGGATTTGCGCTCCTGAATGGCGCATGTCTGGTGGTCAAGCTGGCAGTTCAAGCAGGGAACCCCTCGCAGCGTCACATCGCAGCGAACTTTTCTCTGGCGGCAGTGAAGACAAGCCTTGCTGGCGCGTCGTCGCGGCATTGTGTTGTAGCTAGCAGGGCGAAACTAGCAGCAGAACGGCGAATAGAAATCAAAGAGAAAAAGATAAGAAACAAGTTATAGACCGTCGCCGATAGACGAGAAGCAGTGTGTGGATAGAGAAAAAGGGCGCCCCATGACGTGGATTGGATTGGACTGCTCTCTTCCACTAGCTATTCGAGTAGCTCCTTGTCCGTCGACCCCGGTTCCCCAGAAAATTGTTCGAACTGAGTGCCGTCCGGTTTGCTCCCCCGCGTACGCGCATTTCGGGACTTGACTATAGCTGAGCTCCGCAACCTCCCGTCTGTTCCGAGTCTAACATCCGACGGCGGGGAATGAGAGCAGTTCCAGTTACTTGAAGTAAGCGTCATGTTGCTGCACTAACAGCAAGCAACTCTTACCTAATACCGGTCAAGACTACATGTACTGTATCTTGTGGTCCTCGCCATGTAGACTATAAGGCTGCGGGGTTGGTAAGCAAGTTTGGATCTGAAGGCATTGCGTCGCAGCCTCGAGTCAGTTTGCAGCTGTAGTGATTGAATTGTTTGATTAATGGTATTCCATGGAGATTCCGCCTGTTTC